AGAGAGAAGTTATGGCGGCGTTTCGATATCGTCGTCTCCGGAACGGCTATTTCGACGTCGGCATCATAATGGTTTTTTCCAGTTGGTCGTACACACGGATGAAAAGCGAGTCTGCCGGGAAGGCAATTCTCTAAAATTTTCCTGGCGCAACTGTATCCGATCATCTGGATTAGCCTTTAATATTGGCCCGGGTGTTTGGCGTGCCGCCAGATTGAACATAATTGATATCGATTCACGCTGTCGCTGTGAACACGCCACTGCCACGGTTTAACTTTAATTACGATAAACGGGTTAACTTATAATTTCTAATAAACGTTGCCTCTCTTTACAACACCGCTTACAAAAGCTTTCTTCTATTTTCCTTTGAAGATAAAGAAAGCATCGTTGTTACAGTCTAATGTAAACTATACTTCGGGGATTCTTTCGTGTTTTATGTTATTGCATGGGGACTATGAGACCTTTTGAACATCTTCAACATTTTCGTATTTAATGAACTGATTCTATTTCCCTGTAGGTATAAACTATTATTTGAAGTCACATTTCTCTGACGTTATTTAGGATATAGAAAGATGAAAAAATATAAATTCTGGTTTCATTTTGAGTCTCGCACAGATTCGCGGAGTTTCAGCATTTGATCGTTTTGAATTCTCGATGCGATTGCACGGTCTAAATTTATCGAGCACCGCGTCGTTCGACGGGTGATAAATAAATCATAGATCACGAGGCGACAAAGGAAGATCTGAAATGCCTTCTAAATCGAGAACGCTAATTAGGGACGGAAAAATAGTCGCAAACAGATGATCCACTTTCGGCGTTCGATATCGATAGGTTTATTTCCATCGATCCGTGCAAACCGACCAAATAGACGTTAATACCGTCGTTAAATGGCGCTCGTTACGTCAATCGATTCGCGGCTGCAAAATGGACAATTAGGGGTTAGAAATCAGAAACGGCATTGTCGCCAAAATCCAGAGTATTCTAGGCACGATTGAATAGAATTTGATTCGACTACCGGTTTCCCCGGTTTTATTTCCATCTTCTAAAATAGACAAATAGATTCCGCAGCTTTCATTCAAATCTTTCTATTTCGATCGTCGAAACTCCGCCTTTATTTAGAACTGACGCGCGAAAGGACCAAGAAAGATGTCTGGAAAGGTGTTATATTTGCGTCAAGGTCCTTTTTGTCCGTTCTGCCGGTTCACGCAACAAATCTCCGGTTTTTCGGAGAAGGAATTTTGTCGAGTCGGTGATTTAGGAAAATCATCCGTCTTTGCACGCGCGTCCGTTCGTTGACGTACATACACACGCGGGCGTAAATTCGGAAGCCGAGGTCTGAAGCGTTATCGTGCGGACTTCTCGCGTGGATCTTTCGTCGAAAACGAACCGCCGGAAATCGAAGGTCTCCGTCTAAGTATAGCGCTCGCGCCTCGCTAGCGTAAGTCTGGCCACTGACGTCGAAAAGTGTCAGTATACCCTGGACCAACCGATTCCAGAAGCACGCTGATCCGTCTCCGAGTATCGCGCAAATATACCATTCAGTTTCGTCGCGATTCTCCACTGGATCGCTCAATTCTCCTCGACATTTACAATCACGGATAGTGCATCGTGTGTGAAACCCGCCTTTCGCGCGTGTCTTTCATCTTTCGAAAACGCTGCTTTCAAACAAATATAAACTTTCCGGAACAAAGTCACGTTGGAAGAACATTTCTTTTGTTTGAACAACAGTACAGGACTCGGATTTTTATGTCGGTGCTTTGAAGAAGAGAGACGGTTTAATACATAATTCTCTGGGTACGTAGTTGCTCGAATAAATCGAATTCTCGTCGAGTGTTCTGTTTTCCTGTTCCCAGGAAATTCTTTCGTTCCATGGACCGCGATTTTTCTCGTTACTCTGTGGACACTTTTCTGGTCTTTTATCATAGACGCTTGTTAAGGTCTAATTTATTTTGTTTATCCTGAAATATTGTTCTCGAGTTTTCAATAGACTTCTCAATTAACCAGCTGCAAAATAGTTACAACATCTAAGAAATTTGCAACATTGCATTGTAGTGGCACAAAAATTATCAAAGGTTAATGAAGCTTTTTAAATACAACTTCTACTATTTCATAACAACTAATATTTTCACGAAAAAACTACCCCTACAACAAAAATACTATACAAACCGCATATTGCGCTAACTCTGGTGAAAGCACTGGAAACAAGAGAACGTAGGAAATTGAATTTTTGTTTATACGCTCGGATTTGAAAGCACGAATGCAAAAAAATATTCAATGGAACGGTTCTTTGTTTTCAAAGATCAAACAACATCATAGCACTATTGTTCGAAGTAATTTACGAAACGAGTGGTCGATCGAGTTCAGGGAATCCCGCGGATAAAGGAGACCAATATCGAATTTCACGCGTTCGGTGCGTCCACGCCAAAACGTCACAAAGATGCACGAGACGGTTGAAACGGCGCCCACAATTTTCGTCGTGTTTTTCTCGCGGACAAAGGAAAAAGCTGAATCACCGTTCGATTGCTTGGCGCGAAAATAATAACCCGCGCCACGTGCATCTACGTCTTTCCTGACGCGTCACCCCGAGGAATTCAAAGAACGTCGCGCTTTGTGCTGCTTCTTTGACAGAAAAAACGAGTCCCACCTGCGGAGGAAATAATTAAAACGACTGAAATCGTCCTCGAATAAACCTTCTGAGAATACACCCGCCGAAGTTGTTGGCTGCTGCGAAAGCTCAAAGTCCATTCATTCTTTGTCTCAGTGTATCTTGATTTTTCACCAAATTTTCACGCGACTCAAAACACTACGCTTCGTTGAACCATCACGAAAATATCGTCTTTCTGAAGAAACCGGTCGAAAACAAATAATCAAGAAATTTATTCATGACCAGACACGCTGAGATTCTATTTGATCTCGATCTCTGTTTCCAATCCGATGTGCATAACTGCGCAGAGAATCGTTCCAATATAATCTTTGCCAAAATAGGATCTTTTCTGAGACGCGCCGCCTACTCTTTCGAAGTACCCGATGTATATTCGTCGTGAATGAAATAGGATAGTTTCGAAACGCCTTGTTCATTCGACAAGTTATAGATTTATCTTTGCAAGAAGAATTGCTTTCAATTTAAAAAGCTCAGACATGTGGAAAGATGTGTAGCATATGATCCTAATGAAAATGGAGGGTGATAAGGTTCCTCAAGGTTGGCGATCAGGTCCAGAAAGTTGCTAATACAATAGCAGCTAGCCGCCTGTTGCACCCTAGAATTCGCTTTAAGATCAACAAGTGGTTCGTCTAACGGTAACAATGCTTTCTAATGCGCCGCTCGTTTCCGGTCGAATTCTGCTAAGCGATTGGTCCTTGGCACGATCTTCGACTCCGCGTCTACGCGTTTACACGTACGTGTTTAGGAAGTTGCGAAATCGCAGATGAATTTGGCTCGGGTGTACGTGTCTCGCGCATTGAAATAATCCTTCGCGATACTTCGCCGCAATCTACGTGCGTGCAGCCGGATTTTAAATTTAACCCGCCCGCGCCGATGTCTTTCGATTAGAAATCGCGAACAGACGGTCGAGGGAAATCGCTGAAAATCATTTTCTGGCGAAGTCGCTTTACGACTCGAGCGCACAGATTCGAGTGACGCTTTAACGGTTAATAAAATGAACGTCTGCGGGAGAATGTAAAAGAAAATGTACCGAAACGTAAGCACGGTATTAATAGAACGTCGATGGTGGATGGTGGGAATAATCGGATATTTTTGGACTTTGGAAAAAAGTTTGATCGAACGGAACGTCGCGCGAAGATCGAGTATTATATTGACCCCTATGGGTGGTGGTCTTTTTACGCGGCTTCTGCATTAGGCTGTGGGTACGGTGACCGCGTAAATTGGTCCATTAATTTAGAAAATGGAGCGATTATACGAGTCTAGAAAATGAAACGACCGTTTCATTGCCAAGTTCTCGTTTAATTGCCGAATCGAGTTGCAAGGTTCACAGGGACATGTCCTGAGTTCGCCCATCTTTCGAGCACCAGCTCGTTGATGATGCACCGGTGCTCAAAATAGAAGAGCAACGACTTCGCGAAAAGATCTTGACATTGTCGCTGGTCGCGATACTGTTTTTCTTTGTCGTTCAGGAAACAAAAAGCTTTATTAAGCTTTCGAAAATTGCTTCGATAAATTACTGCCATCTGTAAGCAGTCTTCTAAATCTCGTTAACTGGAATTGTTCTCCACTTGCGGGAAACTGGAAGAAATTTTCTACGGTTGAGTAGAGAGCAAGCTTTCCTTTCAATCGACGAAGGTAAAATACGATGTCCTCGAGGAAACGCGACGCGATGAGTAACGACTTGGCACAATGAAGATCTCCAATTGCAACAGGCTACGGATTACACGATGCAACTATTTATTATCTGTGACAACGATGACTTTACGTTTTGCAGAGTGGCGTAAGGTTGGCGGATATTTCACAGGAAATTGGGGAAACCTTGACGCGGGTTAATCGAATAAACAATGCAAATAAACTCGATTGTCGCAAAATACACCAACTACAAGACACGTTGTCTCGACGAAGTTTCTATCGTTAATAAACCTCGAATATTTATGCTTTTGGAACTTGTCAAATTTTATATAACATGCTCCATTTATACAAGAAGTTTAATCATTACTATTCATAACCGATTTTAAAACATACTTGCAAATTAATGTACGTCTTAATATAAACTACAAATACAACTGCACTGCGAGAAAGCGGAACACTCATTCTAAATTATACATTCCCGATGACAACATGCTTTTAAATACTAGTTCGTCTGTGTTTTCCGCCAGTTCTTCACTAACCACCGAAATAAACGTTGATCCATCAGAATGAATTCGTTCCTTCGAAATCTCATCGTCTCAATTCTTTCGTAAAAAATATTTTCGGTTTCGATATCGTACGTTGCAACATTCGTGTTTACGTCGGACAGAACGTGGTAATAAAAAGGACTAACGTGTGATCTGTTTTACAGGCATGGAGCAGTTCGAGCAACTGCTGACGTGCGCGATATGCCTGGACCGATACAGGAACCCGAAGCTTTTACCATGCCAGCACAGCTTCTGCATGGAACCATGCATGGATGGCCTCGTTGACTACGTGCGTCGCCAGGTGAAATGTCCAGAATGCCGTGCAGAGCATCGTATACCTTACCAGGTGGGCGTTCCTTAGATATTCATTTTTTTGTGCGGATATTCGAACGTGTGTTTATAAGGGATGTGCATTGACGTATCTAGTCAGGGTGAGATTTATTTGAATTCCATCAAAATTCAGGTTTAAGTGTTTTTAAAATATCCCTGAATCTTCAGACTTGCAAATATTAAAATTTATCTAAATTATAATTTACCTAAATCCTGGAGATGTAACTCGTCTAAGACAAGTCCTCTTTAAAATCCTAGTTACGTCAATGGTAACAAGGAATCTCGGATTCCACCCCCAACAAAGAGAACTACAAAGAGTTAATCTCAAGGGAATGTAAATTGTTACAAAGCGAAATCGTCGTTTGACGTAAACGACGAGATCGGAAACGAAGTAGTTAAAAATGAAAGCTGCAGATGAAAGAGTCCGGAACACACGCTCGCAAGGTTTAGCTTAACTAATTGTACGTGCAACGCGTGGCTTCATGTTTATTCAACGGCAAGGATCTCGTTTCCTCATGAAATTGGATGAAGTTTCACGTTTCGCGGTGACACCTTTCCGTGAACTATTTGTCTTGCCTGTCCGAAGCGCAAACGTCAAACGTAACCCTTAATTAGAGAGAACCGCGGGAAAGAGTCACCGGATGAAAAAGAATGAAACTAAAGAAACATTGAGCAGAACCGAGTAAAGCGATTCTTTTTCCTGTGAGATTCAATTTCGGATAAAAGCATCCTCGCGAACGAGTTGCCTGATCAAAGGTGTCTCCTTTCTGTATGGAATTTCCTTTGGAATTTTTCCACCGCTGAACGGAGAATCATAGTTATTCGATAGGTGATCCTCGGCTGACACGATAGCTAACTCGTACAATGTTATCACCAGGGTGTGCAGGCGTTCCCGACCAACGTGACCCTGCAACGATTCCTGGAATTGCACATCGAGATCACTGGAGAACTACCGGACCCAACCAGCGGCCAAACGATGGAACGGTGCGGTGTTTGCTCGGAGAAAAGCTACTGTTCCCTTTGCGTCCACTGTGATAAAAAGTGTTGTCCAGAATGCAAGGACGCTCACATGGACATCCTCAGGCGTGAAATTACGCGCATCAATTCCCAGGTACCAAATCTCTCACCAGAGTATTATTTATATTCGAATATTAAAATTACCTCGATATTCGTATCCAAATACTCGACTCAATTTATTTCCTTCGCGACATAAAAACGAAACAAAGACATCACGAAAAAAGATTCTCGTCGATCAGATGAAAAGAACCCATCGTTAAAGAACTTTGTACAGTGTTTTCCCGATGAAAATCTATTTCTGGTAGACGCGGAAAGCTCATTGAAACGATAAGAAACTTTTTCTTCTTTTCCTGCGAGAAGAAGTCCGCGTTAAAGTAAAAGAAACGATTTCACGATCGAACACTCTTTTATCTCCTCCGCTCGGTTCGACTAAACTCGCCCGATTTAATGACGATTTTAAAAAGCGACACGGATTAAGCGAAAACGAATTAAGGCGGAATAATTCGCGAGTTCGCGCGGAAGCATCGAAATCCAGGGCGGATCGAGCGATTTCGTAAGCCCAGGAAATCGACGAGGACGCTGTTGCACCGTTTGAAGGAATCGGGCGATGTAAATTCGTCCTGTCTCCGGGAATAGTAAACCGGAATGATTCACCTCTATTTCCGGGCGAGAATAAACCTCTGTGCAATCGCTTTTGAGACAGACCAGAGTTCGCGAACGCATCGACAGGCCATGGATATTGCGCGTCGAACGCACACACGGTGGGACAGACCGTACTTGAAATTCGAGATCGTTTCTGACGATCAACGTTTCCGGCGCAATTGGCGATTTGATACGGAAAAATCTACAGGGTAGTGCCTTTTTCATGTATGATTTTGCTTTTTCGCAACGAAACGTGCAACGGTTTTTATCCACCATTTTACCCCTCTTTTTCAGCTGCTCGCTTCTCATGCTGTTGAATATTTCAACCATCGTAGACGAAAATATAACCAGAAATTATTAGCATTATCGATTTTGTACGTCCAGTTCTTGTACACGTGTCTCTGTATTCCTGGATTTTTAAATCTCTGAATTTTCAAGTTCTACATTCAAAGATCTTTATGTAGAGTCTCATACCCAATAGATATAGCTCAAATAAATTTGCTGAAATGTCTTCATGGTTCTAATTTCCTATGTACCTAAATCTTGTATCTTAAGATCCATATATCCCAGGATGCTTGTATCCCAACTTAATGCAGAACTTCAAGCGATTAAGTGGAAACTATACGAACTTCAAAACGTACCTCTTTCATCGGTAACACGTTCTCCGCGAATGCGCCCTCGACATTGCCAGGGGGGTCGTAATTGCAAACGAAGTATATAATGCCTTCCTTGTCGAACGCCATTCCCAGACCTATCATCTTCGACTCCTCCCAAATCATCTGAGTAAACTGGCGCACGTCTTCCGAATTTTGCGGCTGTTCCTGTCCGTACATGAAGAATCTACCCTCTCGGTACCTGCAGAAATATCTCTCTCGATCGACTTCACAAAGCAATCGAGAGAAAACTATCTAACCATTCTTCCAGTGGATTCGTCGGCTTCAGATCGCGCTCGGTCTTCTTCCAAGTACTTCTGTATACATTTTCGCCGTATTTCGTCTCTGGTCTATACTCCAAAATACCATTTTCGGCTAGAGAGTCAGCCCATTCTTGCGCGTACTCGTTCAGCTACGAAACATAGATCCCGTCAATGAAACTATCGACATTTTCCCGATCGGATGGAAACGCGTACGATGTTATTTTTCGTGGCGTATAACGTCGAGAAAATAAGAGACGTACTTTTTCGTCGATTTGTAACGGAGGGGCATCGTGTTTAGCTCGGTACTGATTATGCAACTGGAGGAAGGCGAGAACGAAATTTTCAGGGAAGTTCCTGTAACCGAGTAGAACGTGTATACTTGGAGCAAAGTAACGTTTCGATTCTTTGCTCACTCCATGTTTTGTTCGAGTTCAAGAGTTTCGGTGCAACATGTTGATCGATATTTGAGAAGGCGGCAAGTGTTCTTGTGAGATTCAAGGTGAACGGTTTATGGAGGCTACATGTTTCGGACTTTTATGTTTTAGGTTAGTTTGCGGTCAGTAAACAGTCGCGAAACAAACTTCAAGCATTTACGTAGGCTACGTATGTAGATAGGAAGGCGAATCATAAATTATTGTTTATGGAAGACGCGATCTGGTGAAAGATCTTTGACAATTTTCTCTTTGGACATAGAATATAAACTAGCAGAAAAAATAGTATATTTTTAAGAATTCTTGTTAACGAGTTATAGAATTTGGAATCTGGAATATTTGTAGGGTTTCGTACGCTGGAACGATTCGATCCAAACGGGATGAATACCCAGAGAATCAGGTTAACAAAACCGTACGTATCTACTTACGCGCTATAAGCAATCCCGAAATAACCGTAGGTATATTTGTTCGCTCCTAATGTATTCAAAACAAGCCCTCCATTTCGCGACGTGAACTAAACTTCTAAGCAAAATACAAAACCACGAACATTTTCATCCTCCAGAAATATCGGAAAGGGAAAAAAACAGAAAACCTTCTCGTATCGAAACACGCTCCTAAACGATTCTCTGTTTCTTTTGTCCCCAACAAAATTGTATAAGCTTTTATTCGCAAAACAATCTCGTGCGTCTGTATTTTTAAGAATAAAGGTTTCCACTATTGACATGAACTCCGGTGTACGCATTCCAGAGTAATGAATGAATAATTTTGATTTTCAGATACGCAGAGGGTTGCACAGGTTGCAGGACGCGTTGGCTTTGGTGGAAAAAAACACACTTGGTCTGCAAACAAACTGTGCCTCGGTCGCAGAAGAGGTGGACGAGATTTATCGGAGGCTGAGCAAGGCTTTGAAAGACCGTACGGAACATCTGCGTAACGAGGTCGATCGATACCTGGGCTCCGAGCTCAGAGGCCTGATTCAGCTCAAAGAGAATCTCGAATTGGAAATCGCGAATATCCAGAGCAACTGCGATCTGGCGGAGGCTCACATCAATGAAAACGTACCATGGGACGATTCCGAGCTCCTCGATACAAAAGAGCTCTTCCTCCGTACGGTGGAATTCATCAGGTTTGTCGCGCATAATCTACTTTTTCTGCGGATCCTACAATTCGGTTCGTCAATCTTCGATCATTCAACCAATCACTCAGATCATTCCTCTTCATTCTTCGAATTTTTTTCACGGCAAGGGTGCTCAATTAGATGCATTTATCTGCTTGGGGACAAAGAATGAAGTATATCTATAATATTAAATCTACATGATATCTGTAATGTTACATATACATGAAGTATATCTGTAGATATAAAAGTAGTACCTCCAGTTTCAAAGATTACAATGTCTTATTTGACTTGCTTTAAAAATTGTGCCAGAACACCCTGACTCGAAGTCCACATAAAAATTCGAGTATATCTGTAATGTTACATATACATGAAGTATAGCTATAGATACAAGAGTAGTACCTCCAGTTTCAAAGATTGCAATGTCTTATTTGACTTGCTTTAAAATTTGAGCCAGAACACCCTGTCTCCAAAGTCCACATAAAAATCGCACACCATAGAATCAAGTAGTCGACGTCCTTTCTGACCCTTACATATTTTAAAAATTCTTTTGTTGAAACCTCAAGTTTGGGGACTTCTTCAATCTCGAAGAATGAATTTTTTATTTTCCAATATTCCACAGAGTACACACTTCATATTTTTTATTCGGATCAGAATTTTGTCGAGCTATGTAAGAGGCTTGAATTTTTTATTTGGTAACATTCTATAAGTTCGTGTGGAAGATAGTATCTCGAGTTCGTGGTGGAGAATACTCGAAGTTTCATATTTTCTTACTCGAATCACGATTTCTCGAGTGAACCGAAAGTATTTAATCCTTTATCCTCCAACGCTCCACCCTCGAGCAAGGTGGCTGCTTTATGACTCCGGCATGAAAACAAATTTCTCCGCGATATCTGTTATCTTTTGAAGCATAGTACCCTTACGGGACGCGTGGTTCATTTCGTGGAGATTGAGATTAAAATTTGTCGAGTCAAAGCAGCGACAGCAATGCGCTTCCTCTGACTCCCATTCAAATATGTTTCTCGTAACTAACGAGATACGAGGTCATAGTTAATGTTGCCGTAGCAAAAAGATTAACGAAACGATTGTAATTGCTCGCAATGTTAAAAAAAATACGTTCGACACAACTTTGCTTTTATCGTACTTCATTCTCGAGCAACTTCGGAATCTGAAGAAAGCTCGCGGAAAAATTATCGTACACTCGGCGGAGAATAACGATCGCTGTGAAATATATAAAACACGATAAATTTCATTGGCGGAAAGGCAATTTTCTCGGTAGAGTGTTACGCTTTTCTTGCTTTATCGAGCGTCGAGTTTAACGTCAAAGCGGAGACCTCGATCCGCCTGAAATTATGATGATCTTTATTTTCTTTCGACGTTCGATGGTGAACGAACAGATCGCGGAATAAGCCATACGTTTTAAAGATAACCAAAGAAGCGAACGCTTTCTCACACATCCCTGTTCCATAAATTTCTCGCGAAATAAAAGTATCCCCGTTACATGGGGCGTGAAACATAATTCAGACAATGAACGATAAATCTTACTTTCCGTACACCAACGTGAACACGTCTTATCTTCGCGCTCATCTTTTAATCTTTTCCCCGGTTGAATCCATTTCACTTCTCATTTTCCTCCTGTGCATAGGTGCGAAACGCTTGCGCTTATATTTTCTGACAGCAATAAAAGAGTATTTATTATTTTCTCGATCAACGTTGTCGCGAGAGATGCACGGTGCAACTCGAACGAAAAATATTTGTACAGAAACCAATCCAAAATTTCGTTTCCTAAAACGTTATTGTTACGAATTGATCAAACTTCCTGCAACTCAACCATGTAGTACCATAAATCGTAATTTGAATTCTTCTGTAAAATCGCTTTTGATCCTCGAAAGACATAGTTGAAACAAGAAATCTCGTTTGATAAAATATTCTTATTCGCGTAACTTCATTTTCGTTTTAACTCAATTTTTTCGAGTTCTTCCTCGGCTCAAATTATCATTTATAGTTGCAAGATAGGAAGGGTCCCGCTCGGAGAGACGCGAAAAATGACGAGACTTCTTATAGCATTTTTATCTTATTTTTATTCATAGAGCTCACTGGTCCGACGATTTAATTTGTAAGCACGCTATACGCGAGAGCTTTTCATCCCGGGCACGTCGAAATTCTGGATACTCTTTCTTCGTTCGCGACACACAGCATGCTAACTACGCTTCGGGTTTAAACAGTTCCAGGCTCACACGGTTATTATTCTCGTAGGGGAAAGATTACCGGAAAGTCCACGAAAGAAAAGGGGACACAGGCGCGAGATACCGTGCGAAATATTTAGGAGCTCGTCTGTTTCGCGTCGCGATAAATATGACGAAGATACGGTGCAGGGTAAAAATGAGCAAGAAGCTTCCTGATATAAAATGCAAAGGCTATCTCCGGCGAATACGTAATCAAAGAAAGAGAGAGAGAGGAAACTATCTGTTTAATCGTTCGGAAGATAACAAGCATTTCTGCGGACTAAAATACTGTCATCTATCAACTGTCGCAAAGATTAACACTTTGAACGTCGAAACTTTGGCGCGGAGATGAAATCCCTGCGAGATTGCAATCGTTTCTCAAATGAAATTAAAATATTTCCTGGACGCGTAAACGACTTTATTTACGGGAGCGTTTCCCTCGCTGATTTTCAATGAAAGGTAACATCGAAGTTACGTTAAATCGTACAAAGGACAAAATAAAAGTATGAACCGTCTAGCAATAATTAAGCGTTGAATTTACGTGAAGTAATTATCAGCAGACCGTTCGGTGATAATTTTCTTCGCGGTGACACAAAGGTGGCCGAAAGGAAAGTTGTCTCATTAAACGAAACTCCGGGTGGCTCCAGCAGCGTGTACAGGTCGTAACGGCGCAACTTGCCGGATAAACGGTAAAAATTTTGTTAGGACAGCGCTAATTTACGATCCGATGTTGCAGGAACTTCGAGTACGAAGCGGGGGATTACAGTCGGCGAGTACGTTTCGTGATGGCTCACGATCCAAACCAGCTGGTCCTTCATGTAGCAGGATACGGCGAGCTGAATATTAAGCCGGAGACCGGAAGCGGAGGACTGCTAGGTAGTTCGAGCAGTTTAGCGCCTCCCGGAGGATCTCCTGGACTTATGAGGAGCAAAAGCGACCATCGGCTGGCTTCCCAATACCGGCAGCAAGAGGAGGAACGACTCGCGAGAAATCGATACGTCCCCGAATACGAGTAATTATACTTTTCATCTTCGTCGGAATTTTACGCTCCTTCGGTTCCCCAACGAACTTCTTTACGTAATCGGAAGTCGGGTAATATTTCCTACGTTTTATGTTTTTCACTGTCGCTCGGAACGAGGAGATAGCGTTGAGTTACAATAGTAGACTTTGTGTACAAAGTAAACTGCTTTAAACTGTGGTTTGCGTGACTGCAAACTTTCGGTAACATGAGTTAGAGATTGTAAGAACACCTTGACCCGAAGGTACATTTTTGAAAGTTTAATCCTGCGCGATAAGAATACATTTTTAATGGTAGACGTGTACACAGAAATAAGTACGCGTGCACCGAAACTTTTGATGGAAACAAATATGTCTGGGTAATAATAATATAGTTTATGGCACCTCTTCAGAACGTGTCAGTCCAACTTCCTCAGCCAGACAAAGCAACAATAATATTCTTTGAAATTCGAAACAATTTATCGAAAGAGAATTATTCCTCAAAGGAAATTCTTGAAGGCGAAAGGAATCCGATTTCGAAACTTTTTTTGAAAGATGAGAAAAACGACGACACGCTATATAGCAGGGAATACCGCTGAATAGAGTGGTCTCGACTCGTATCGTGAAAGAGTGTTTCTCTAAAGTGAAGACAGAACAGAAGAAAAGAGGAATTTCTGGCCCGACTGGCAAAAACGTGTTTGACCGTGGACGTAGATTACTTTGGAGTACTGCCAATCGGCATCCGTGGTGGGCATACATTTTTCAGGATGTCCCACATATCTATTCTAGCAAACGTTATAAATACACGTGGCTCCTCTGGCTGTATCTTTTTCCTGGCGTGGGCCGCGAACAACTTCCTCGAGGCCGAAATAGGCATGGTCGACTTTAATTACCGACCGTGTTTCGTGTAATACGCAGCCGGCCAGCGAGTACTTTTATTAAGCCACCTCGTCAAAATGTAAATTAAAAGCTTTTGATATAATACGCCGCGGAAATAAACAGTAGTTGAACGATGGAGGCGAAATTGCGGATAGTTTCGTGTCCTGGATACTAGTGGAACCGGCAATTAAAGGCTTGCATGATCTTCGTACAGAGTTTTCGAACCGATAATCGGGGGTAATTTAAAGAACCGACGACACGCGAGTTCGTTAGGGAACCGAGCTTTCGTGTAACGTTTAACCCTTCGCATTCCTGTGAGAGGACACTTCGAACTCTGCTGCAAAATCTTTACTTTCATTTTTTGATAGACTTTGTGAGGAGAATTGAATTTGAGAAATTTCGATAGTTGTTGAAGCATGTTACAAAAGAGTGACAGTAATTGAAAAATTCTTCTTATTGCTCGTCGACGCTCTCCCGGGAGAGATCGCGTTAAATGTTTCGATAGAACGAATTCCGATACGACGACAAGAGAAAGGATACTACTCTCTCGACCGAACGATTCGACCATTCTCCGTGTTCCTTCCTCCGATTCTTTCTATAAAATAGAAAGGATCTAAATAAAGAATGGAGAGATCCGTTTAAAGACCATGCGACTGCTCCTTGTCGCTCGCGACGAACAAAGGGACGAAGCAACGTGGCGTAAATTTTTAAAAAACTTATTTCCTGCAAAGATCGGATCCGTAGCCTCGATAATAACCGGCCTTCTCGGCCTCGATTTCCTCTGCAAACGTTTTCGAATAATTTAAGACCCCATAAGACGAGCTCGCGTTTCGCATTGCTAACGTGGAACTGGCTGTACTTTGCAAACCTGAAGGGGATCAATTACCGTCAACTCGTGCACAACCCCTCACCTTATACCCCCATCCCTCTAATCTTCGCAAGTTACACGAAACCAACCCCGTGTCTGTAAAGCGATAATTAAGCAACACTCGGATAAACCCGATGGATCTATTGCTGTGCACTGTCTCGAAAGACAGATAACCCAGTTCCAGAAAATCGCCTCGAACAAAATGTACAATATATACCGCTTGTGTTCGAGTTTGCAGTTAATTCGTGATAATTGTTATCGTCTGGCTTTGAACGCTGAACTAAAAGAATAATACTTTTCATTTAAATTTAACGATACAGTGATGGACAGATTGGGCTCTAGGGTTATACAGGGTGTCTCACAAATCGTGTAGTTCCTGGAAAGGGGTGGTAGAGGACGCGATTTTAAGCAAAATTTCCTTTTGCAAAAATGGGGGTTGAAGCTTCGTTTTTGAGTTATTAAAGAAAAACACGGACCTATCAGAGCGCGAGGATTCGGCGCCAATCACGACGCGCAGTCGCGAGAGCGACGCCTTCGTGCATAATGGCCGACTGGGCGTAACCCTCGCGCTCTGATTGGTCCGTGTTTTTGCTTAATAATTCAAAAACGAAGCTTCACACCCCATTTTCGTAAAGGAAAATCTTATTCAGAATTACGTCCTCTACCACCCCTTGTCGAGAGTTACACCAGTTATGAGACACTCTGTACGTATATAGAGCGACACTGTATGTATGTATATGCGGTGATACTAAGGATTTGTGATATGGAAATTTTTAGGTATACAGATTTAGCGACTATAGAAATTTGATAGCATAGGAATCTAAAGATTATAGAGTTCTAAAAATCTGGAAATTTAGAAATGTAAACGATAGAATATTTTCTCGTTTGTGAAGATCAGTTTCAGTCGAAGCACAATGCTATATATCCCAGTAACAAAGTGGTGTTTCACTATTTTGTACATAATTGAACGAATTTACCGTGGGAGATCCATAGTTACAAAGTTGCAACTGGTTACAAGCGGATCGTATTAATGGTACGCGTCACCGGAGATTACCAAGACAGATGATGGCTGATCACTGCGCCCGGAACATCCGCTTTATAGTCAGATTATCTTGGTTCGACTCGAGTGGACATTCCAGAGGATTGTTGGTGACAGCTGAGATTCGTATTGGAGGATCTCCATCTTCATCCCCTGTCTTGTTCTCAACTTACCTTGCCTAATCCGCTCTATATGATCGAATTACCGTAACATATCTCGGTGCATGCTGTACTTTTTTCGATTACCCGAACATCGTACACGATTAACTACGAATAATATTATGGATATTTTGCATAATTCAAATTATAATTAACGTCCACTATCCTGTAGCTATAATTAGTATCGATCGTAATGCCCCGGCGATTAATTAATATGCAAATTCACGAATCGAATTAGGATTTTTGAGGAAATGTTGTTTCTGCAGTTACGATGCGCCGGAGTACGAAGTGCCGCGAAATAAATCGAGGTACAGGAGTCGGTTCATGCGACATCGTGACGGAGACGATTCCGACGGAGACTCGAGGTCGACCGTCAGGTTCACGTCGACGCCCCAGGAGTCGTCAGGGCTTCGCGAGCGTGTTCTGGACACGGAGGACGCGGCACGTGGACCGCTCTCCGGTATTTTTCGTCTCACGGACTCGCCCCGCGTGATGAAGAAGCTCCAAGAGTACGAGAGAGCCGGCAAGAGAAAGAAAGAGGAACCAGCGCCTCACCCCGCTCCGCAGCAACAGCAACCGGCGAAGCCTCAGGTTAGTTGAATTTTGATCCCTCATTTTCGAGCGTGATTCGATACTCGTCGTACTCGTCCAAATTATTATCACGCTCGTTAGCGAAAGGCGGATGTTATTTCACGAATTTCAACGCGCTATTTGTAACCGCTCGTATCGTACAATTTAATTTTGACATAGCGCGGTTTGTTTCGCTTAAACAGCGGTTATCGATTGCACCGACTGGCTCTCTGCTCGCGATTCTCTCTGTACTTTTCATGGGTTTCCTGTTCGCGCAAAACAAATCCTGAAATCGTTTATATTTTCAAGATGAAATGTTGCCTGGCGAAAACGTGGCGGACAAAAGCGGACTTTAACACGCTTGTGAACCTGTTCTTGCTTATCTATCTAGGGCCTCCTCAAGGTCTAGATCCTCCTTAGGATATCTCAAAAGTCGTGTTAGATCTCTACAAGCTTTCTTCAGACTTATCTAGACTTTTGTTTCTAAGATTTTCCCAAGACTCCCCTTAGATTTTCCCTGGGCCCCATTGTTCTGTTGCAACGCATTATTTTTCAAGCACCGAAATTCACAGCTTGGAAATCGTAGAGTCGTATATTTCCCAAAGCTCCGAAATCGCAAAATCCTACAAGTCGGAAATTACCATGTCCGTTTTCGATCCGCAATTTCGCCAGGATTACGTCACATATGTAATGGGCGCGTGTATCTAACTCAATGAGGAAAACTGGAACGCTGACACGATTGATCATTCTTGAATATTCGTGAATTTCACAGGATCGTATTTGTTTTTGACAGTGATTCCGCCGCAGAGTGATTTCAATGATTTGACACGGATTCCCTTGTAAAGGCAGGCGAAACACAGGAATGCGGATTGCGAGCGGAAGTTGAACGGCGAGCACGACACGAAAGTAGCTTCGAAATCACGCGGTTAGATCGCTTGGATGCGATTCACCGGGAACTGAAATATTTCGATCGGTTCGATGTACAATTACGTACACGGTCGCACGTGGGAGAACTTATCGATTCTCCGTATGGACACGTAAAGGGGATAAATCACGACGAGTTTAAAACAATTCGATATTTCACTTGGACGCGCCAGAAGCGTGACGCAGAGTATGAAATGTACACTTGGACACGGCTCATAAATATGTAAATAATTTTGAAACTAGAGTGGTTAAATTTAGCTTGTAGTTAGCCACTGTATTTTTGTACGATATCCTATTATAATATAAATGGAATACATTAATACACGAATGTACATAGATATACATTATATTTTTGACACCAAGGAGCATTTTTCTTCTTTTTTTTTCGTTAATCGAATTCATTTGCGAGTACCCTCTTTTTCCCACGATCGCGGCGCGCTTGTTCACTCCGTAATTGCATTTTTATGCGAACGCGAAATCAGAGCAGCATATTAATGTAGCACGCGGGCGCATGTTGTCGCATATGGTATCGCTCAGCGCGAACAGAAAGCCGACGCTACCTAATCATCGACTAACCGTTTATCTTTCTTTAAAAAAACAACGAAGAAACAACGGTGATCGCAGCGGGTCAGTCGGCCACGAGCTCGTTAAACATTTCTGTTTGTCGCGTAGGTACAGGTCAGGAAAGTGCCAACCGCGATGGCGAGGCAGACCAGCGAAGACGACGAGATTTCCAGGATCAAAAAGCAAAACAAGTCCACCGCGGCGGCACCTGCGACAGAAACGGTGGAAGAACGACAACCGACACAGCCACCAACGCCCACGCACCAAACTCCGAGAGAAACGCCAACCGAACGAGAACCCGAGGAACCTGCACGAAGACCGATGCCTGCGAGGTATGTTTCCTACAGTTGACTCTGTGCACCTCACATTATGTATTCTGTCGCTTCTTAAACTACTGGATCGAAGTTTTCGAGAATAATAATTGTTTAAAATCCACCCTTGTAATGTATTATTTTCCAAAGTACCAAACTTCAGAGGTCCCGAAGTTTCCTGTAGTCTCAATATTTGAAAATGTTTAACTCCAGAGTCTCGAAATTGAAATATTAAAAAATGCTAAGATTCCACAGTTCAGCGCTTTCAATTCAAATTCACAAAATACCAAAGTCCCAATCTAGAAACGCTTCAAAGATCCTAAAACCCCATGAAACTGGGTAAAATATAATAATCCTCTTAAAATTGCAAGCCTCAGTGACTTAAAACGTATTTACGCGAACAGTCGCTGGGCCATTGCTTCTCGCAAATCCTATCTCCATGTCATTTTTTACCGATTTCGCTTTATTAAAATCCTGAATGAATCACGCGTAATTTGTAGCAAGACGTATAGTTTGATCGAATATCGACTGCAGTCTCGTTAACATTAAGTTACTGGGATCTGGGTTCCAGTAGTCATGGGCGTTCCAAGTAATAGTGGAGCGTAACTAGTCAGACGAGCTGATTTATGTCTGTTCTGTAGAAGCAGATCGCTTCGATTGAATGGCCAAAGTTCTGCGGGCGTATTCAATTCGACTTCGTGACACTGTATTACGTTTCGATAGCTAAAACGATTATTTCGCGACTACGTAAACATAACTACGCGAATAATGGTTCGTTTAACCTTTGTGCGCTATCGCGAATGAAATTTTGCCTCGTACAATTTCACTTCGTTTCTATTATATTAGTTTTATTGTGCTATTATTATCGTTCCTAATTATTTATTCGGTGGCAGTGATAACGTTAACACAAAAACAATTAAAACAAACGGTCAGCCTTTGTGGATTAATATGCAGTAAAGTCCTATGTTGATACCGGTGCATTTTTTGCAACTTTTTAACGCTTATTCTTCCAGTCACGAAGACCGGCAGAAGTTAGTGGTTTTCGAACGATGCAAATTTTCCTGTCCGGAAATTGAAATGGGTCAACATTTTTGTTTCGTCGGTTGGCCAGTCGAACGTTTCTTTTTCGATCGCGGCAGACCTTTCGCGGGGAATTTTTATACGTTCGCTGGCCGAGCATTTTAACGAGCGTGAATTCTAATACGCGAGACAAGGAGGTGAGAAAATTGCGGATGCCGGTGTTAATTCTCGAATTCCATTCCATCCGACCGCACTGTACGAGCTGCTTGTCAGCCGAAAACCGTGCCTCGTTTTTCTCCACGACGGCGACACGAGCCTAAATGAACCACCAATTTCCCGTCGGTGTACGTTAACGAACAGTCTTTTCATTTACATGCTCCGCGGGCGTTAACGTAATTGCGCTTCGAAGTGGAGCGTTCTCTCGCGATTTAGGAGCGCGAAAATGCAGGCAACCGCGCGGGTAATTCGTTACCGTGGAAGGTTAAGTACAGTGACACCCTTAAGACTAATAATTAGCGGCGCGAATCGTGTCGCGCCAATAGGCGCTTCGGTGCAGAGGCTGGGGATAATTAATTGCAATGTCGTCGCAGGAGAACTTCGACGGATACCCACGCACCTGCGACGAGGAGCGCTTCGTCGGACTCGAGCACCGGCTCCGAGAGTTCTGGGGGCTCGGGAATCCGGAGCACAGGCGCCCCCTTCACCGCCGAGGAAATGAAACAAAAATATTTGTCCAGGGCACCCTCCACAAACGCTACATCCACGGTTTCCTCGCCGCCAGCCAATGCACCGGCTGCAGCCAAAGATTCCGGCAACGCCTCGCCTGCGTCGCGAGCCTTTCAGAGTCGTTTTTTAGGCACAGGTGAGACTCGACCTTTCATTACATTCGCTACCATTCCATTTTACACGCTTTAATCCTCTACATTTTCGGTTACAATTACAACAGAAATGTTAGGAGGAAAGCTGTTGCTAAAACAGTTATTGTCATTCCTGAACCGTCACTCGAATAGCTGCTATTAAACCAAGTGGTGTGAAAGTCGATTCTTGGATACGAAGGGTTGAAATTTAATTCCCTCGCTGTAATTAACAGTCGATTCGCGACGACGTATTTATACAGTGCAAAAGTCTGGAATCATTTGATTCTAACAAATTGCGATCAATTTTATTCTGATTCTAAACTTTTGATCAGTAGCGTACATTCTCCGTGATCATCATTTAACTACCTCTTCAAAGAATTACCAATCGTTCAACCAAACTTGCGATATCATTACAGTTCCTCCGCGTAGAATTTTCCAAGAAATTTCAGTTGAATCTAAAAGCGGAGGGAATATTTATTCGGCCGTGTACCGAATTTTCTCATGTTCCTTTAGGTAACCGTGCAGCTCCGCCACCACCCACGCAAACTCCGGCAGCACGAGATGAGACTGGCATAAAGAAGAAAGAAGAAGAGGAGGACGAGGACGAGGAAACGAGCAGTTCCTCGGAAGAGACGGAATCCGAGACCGAAGAGGAATCGGAAAACGACGCTCATCCTCCTGCGACGGTGCAGAGGCTGGGGATAATTAATTGCAATGTCGTCGCAGGAGAACTTCGACGGATACCCACGCACCTGCGACGAGGAGCGCTTCGTCGGACTCGAGCACCGGCTCCGAGAGTTCTGGGGGCTCGGGAATCCGGAGCACAGGCGCCCCCTTCACCGCCGAGGAAATGAAACAAAAATATTTGTCCAGGGCACCCTCCACAAACGCTACATCCACGGTTTCCTCGCCGCCAGCCAATGCACCGGCTGCAGCCAAAGATTCCGGCAACGCCTCGCCTGCGTCGCGAGCCTTTCAGAGTCGTTTTTTAGGCACAGGTGAGACTCGACCTTTCATTACATTCGCTACCATTCCATTTTACACGCTTTAATCCTCTACATTTTCGGTTACAATTACAACAGAAATGTTAGGAGGAAAGCTGTTGCTAAAACAGTTATTGTCATTCCTGAACCGTCACTCGAATAGCTGCTATTAAACCAAGTGGTGTGAAAGTCGATTCTTGGATACGAAGGGTTGAAATTTAATTCCCTCGCTGTAATTAACAGTCGATTCGCGACGACGTATTTATACAGTGCAAAAGTCTGGAATCATTTGATTCTAACAAATTGCGATCAATTTTATTCTGATTCTAAACTTTTGATCAGTAGCGTACATTCTCCGTGATCATCATTTAACTACCTCTTCAAAGAATTACCAATCGTTCAACCAAACTTGCGATATCATTACAGTTCCTCCGCGTAGAATTTTCCAAGAAATTTCAGTTGAATCTAAAAGCGGAGGGAATATTTATTCGGCCGTGTACCGAATTTTCTCATGTTCCTTTAGGTAACCGTGCAGCTCCGCCACCACCCACGCAAACTCCGGCAGCACGAGATGAGACTGGCATAAAGAAGAAAGAAGAAGAGGAGGACGAGGACGAGGAAACGAGCAGTTCCTCGGAAGAGACGGAATCCGAGACCGAAGAGGAATCGGAAAACGACGCTCATCCTCCTGCGACGGGCTCTTCGGTGACGACGCCGACGGCACAGGATCGTCAGAGGAGCGAATCCGCGATGGCGAGGACAGACATCGGTCCTCTGCTTGCTCGCAGCGCTGAAGCGAGACGCGGCAGCAAAGAAGATTCACCGTCCACCAGGCAAGTATATTTTATGTCGCGGCTCCTAATTCGAGGGTTTTCATTAACAAGTAACAGCGATACGGCAAATCGGGTCTACTCGCGATAGAGGCGTGCGTATACTACAACTTTAAGTATTTGCCCATCGATGATTTTTCTTATTCGACAAATTTGTCGACACTCATTTTGTAAACTTTTTTGAAGAGTTTTTTTGAAGAGACTAAGAAAGCTAGGAATTGAACAAAATATAAAGGTTGAATAATTTAGATGTGGTGGACTAATCCGTCTTTGAAGACAAAATTTCATTTCGGGTTTTATAATTGTTTTGAAACTTATCATCGGGTTTTTTCCGATTTAGACTTCTATACCTTATTTGTTTGTTATCGATATATTTTAATAGTTTGAGTAAATGTTAGAACAATGGGCAAATACTAGTAATATGTTTCTAACCCGTATTTTGTCCATCGGTATGAATTTATGACGCTTCCGCACACGTCGAAGAGTACATTTATACGTCCGTCTCTTTCCGTCTCGAAAATAACGAGCGTGATGCAACGACGAAACCGAGGAAACGAAAATCAATACGGTGGACGTGCAATAAAGCACCGCGAGTTCGTTCTGTCGTGGTGAACGGCCATCAATAACGGAATTGCCGGTAATTTTCGATGATTAGCCGCAATCTTTCGCGCGACATCGTACGTGTTTCGAAACGCGTCGCGAGTTTTGAAGCGGGTCAGAGTTAAAAGTGGGTCGATTCGAGAATAACCCGAATTCGGTCGCGTTTGCAAAAAGAGTGAGATCAATGCAGAATATCGAGGGAATGACTGGTGTCTCAGGTATTCGTCGCCTAGAGGAAGTCCCGCGCACTCGGTGACGAGCCCGACAGCGACGACGACGACGACGACGGGCGGCGCCGCGACAGCACCGGCCGGCTACACCAGCAGGTTCGTAGCACACGTAGATCACGGTCAGACTCATCATCAGGCCAGTTCTAATTCCAGTAACCCCCACGAGCGTAATCGTTTTAGGACGTTTAGTGACGGGCACGATGAACCGATGATCGTGTCAACCGATCGTGTCGAGGATTCGGAAATCGCGGCTACGAACGCGGATTACGATATTTACGGTGCGGACGGAACGAAGGTTAAACCGCAGTCGAACAAACGAACCCACACGGACGGTAGTACGGACACCGACGACACGATCACCTCATCACCCTCCTCCTCCTCCGCGACTAAATTCGAAAGTCTCGAAGGTAGCGGTTACGATAGTCGAGTAGAGAACCGCAGCGAGGTCAACGAAGACCCGTTAATGGAAGGTCGTTCGGGGAACGACGTGAGCTCTTCGTTATCCGCGAGCAATGATCGACGAGGATCGCTGGCTCGTCCCGCTGACCCATCGCTCCCGGATACTCGAACCTCGAGTCCTCCGGATGACTCGCGAGAAACGCCCGACGAGAGGAAATCTCGCGACGAATCGAACATTGCCAGTGACACGGGGAGCAGTTCCGAAAGCGACGAGGAGACCGACGAGGAAGAAGACGAGTCCCGAGACGAGAACAGTAACATAAAGAAGAAGACTGAGAGTACGGAGAAACAGAATGACGGTCCAACCTCCGAGGGTAAGAGCGACGATTCGGAAGAAGAGTCGACCGATTCGGATAGCGACGACGACAGCACCGTTTCGAATCCACCGACGAACCCTCCTTCCGAGAATAATTATAACAGCCTGGATCGATACGACAACGTGAAACGTCGAAGTTCTTCGATCCTCGAGGAGAAAAGTATCGAGGAACTGTTCGACGATAACGGATGGGTGATCACCGATCAAGATCTACAGCCGGAAAGTCCTCAGAGAATTTCGGAAAGTTCGAAACCGATCGATCAACGCGACTCCGCGTCGAATATCGAGTCGACGGAGCGCGAGCGGGAAACGGGCCACGAGAGCAACGACGAGGAGAACGGCAGGAGATTGAGCATGTCGGGGTCGTCGCAGAATTCGTCGAGGAGTCGAGTGTACAGGCAGAGCAGCATCGGTAAGAACGGATGGTTGGTGTCTGACGAGTCCGAGAACGAATCCGACAGAGCCACTTCGCCGGCGGAGAACGCGGAACGTCGAGAGATGCCGGAGAGGAACGCGGACGACGCTCGGAGGAGAGAAACCGTGGACAAGATGTCGAACGACGCTACAACGCCGGTATCAACGAGCAGGAACAAACACAGGGTACGTGATAAAGATTCGAAAGTGACGACCGATAACGCGTGGAACATCGACGAGAACGGATGGGTGATACTGAACAAGATGAACGACGCGTCCGGCGACAAAAACGCGGAGAATGAAAACACGGACGAGACGAGCACGATTCGTTCCCAAACGACCGACCTCGTAACGAGAACTAGCATTGAGAACGGTGCATTAGTCGCGAACGCTACCCAATCGAAAGAGACCGAAAGTTCCAACGAGCACGAGGACACGCCTGGTGTCAATATCACTATACCGATGCAAATGGTAACCACCGTTTTCTGTGTGTCCGTACTGTGTTACAGCGTTCTAATCAATCTGTTCCTATAACTCGTATTACACGTATACCCTGTGCCTCCTTTCACACGTGTATATTATTATACGTCCACGCCTTCTGTTCGTTTCTTACATATCTTTTTTTTCGTTGTTCGTCGGTGTTTGTCGTGAAAGACTGCAGACTACTCTCACGGAAACAGACGAGACTGCCTCGATATAGAGGTGTCGCTATCGAGCGTCGATATCTTGTCGATACCTTATCGATACTTAACGGTACGCCGACGATATCCTTCAGATGTTCGCGGAGACGAGTAGATAGAGGTGTCGTTGAACTTTAAGTACGCGACGCGTAATAATTTCATTATTATAAGTACACTCTAAATTATATATCACACACGTGTACATATATGTTTCTCGAATTCATACAAGTTTGCAATTTTTCAATATTCCACATTTTGCACTTTCTTATTAAAATCTGCATGCTGTCATTTAGATGCATCGTAATTAAGGTCACGTATAGTGTCGCACAGCTGAGTAATGGAAGCCTAAGTGAATAACTTTCTAAAACAGATTCTTTGAAAAAGAATCACATCGCGATACTGATCACCTCAGCTAATCGTCTTAACGACATCTTAACGATATTATCGACAGCGTTTCGATATTATCGATAACGGTATCGATAGTCACACCTCTACCCCGATAGCAAAGATCCGACGCAGCAGTTTCTGTCCTCCTTTTTTGCCTCATTATTTTCATCTTCCCAGACGTTCGCTCGTTTTTCGCATTTTTCTCGAGAAAGCGCCAGTGGGTTGTTTGTTTGAAAACGCGAATGAGAAGTATAAGAATCGAATTCTTTAGCGCTTATGTCGTTCGACGTTTTATTCGGAGTCGGGTGATTTACCATTTTCGCTTTACGACGCTCGGAGGAGAGAAACCGTGGACAAGATGTCGAACGACGCTACAACGCCGGTATCAACGAGCAGGAACAAACACAGGGTACGTGATAAAGATTCGAAAGTGACGACCGATAACGCGTGGAACATCGACGAGAACGGATGGGTGATACTGAACAAGATGAACGACGCGTCCGGCGACAAAAACGCGGAGAATGAAAACACGGACGAGACGAGCACGATTCGTTCCCAAACGACCGACCTCGTAACGAGAACTAGCATTGAGAACGGTGCATTAGTCGCGAACGCTACCCAATCGAAAGAGACCGAAAGTTCCAACGAGCACGAGGACACGCCTGGTGTCAATATCACTATACCGATGCAAATGGTAACCACCGTTTTCTGTGTGTCCGTACTGTGTTACAGCGTTCTAATCAATCTGTTCCTATAACTCGTATTACACGTATACCCTGTGCCTCCTTTCACACGTGTATATTATTATACGTCCACGCCTTCTGTTCGTTTCTTACATATCTTTTTTTTCGTTGTTCGTCGGTGTTTGTCGTGAAAGACTGCAGACTACTCTCACGGAAACAGACGAGACTGCCTCGATATAGAGGTGTCGCTATCGAGCGTCGATATCTTGTCGATACCTTATCGATACTTAACGGTACGCCGACGATATCCTTCAGATGTTCGCGGAGACGAGTAGATAGAGGTGTCGTTGAACTTTAAGTACGCGACGCGTAATAATTTCATTATTATAAGTACACTCTAAATTATATATCACACACGTGTACATATATGTTTCTCGAATTCATACAAGTTTGCAATTTTTCAATATTCCACATTTTGCACTTTCTTATTAAAATCTGCATGCTGTCATTTAGATGCATCGTAATTAAGGTCACGTATAGTGTCGCACAGCTGAGTAATGGAAGCCTAAGTGAATAACTTTCTAAAACAGATTCTTTGAAAAAGAATCACATCGCGATACTGATCACCTCAGCTAATCGTCTTAACGACATCTTAACGATATTATCGACAGCGTTTCGATATTATCGATAACGGTATCGATAGTCACACCTCTACCCCGATAGCAAAGATCCGACGCAGCAGTTTCTGTCCTCCTTTTTTGCCTCATTATTTTCATCTTCCCAGACGTTCGCTCGTTTTTCGCATTTTTCTCGAGAAAGCGCCAGTGGGTTGTTTGTTTGAAAACGCGAATGAGAAGTATAAGAATCGAATTCTTTAGCGCTTATGTCGTTCGACGTTTTATTCGGAGTCGGGTGATTTACCATTTTCGCTTTGTTTTACGCCGCGAAACTGCTGTTTCGGATCTTTGATTCTTTAATCTTTACCAACATCCGTGCACCGAGTGGCAATTACTAAAACGGACAGTATATAGCCGGTAGAGTTCGCTAATTCACGCAATTATTGTATGATGAATACTTGCATTTTATACATTGTGATAATCGTACGTACGATCGTAATAAGCGTAATTATTTTCCTCTTTTTTTTTTCTTTGTTTTTACGTTGATCAGCCGCGACACGCGTCCCCGCATTGCTCAAGTATCGTAGCTTCGTAGACGAGAGAGGGGTGGAAATCACCCCGTGTTAGACTACGGGACATAAGAGAACAAAGTGTAGTGAGAAATGACCGTCCTACCGAGAGCAGCTTGAAAGTCCATGCCGAGTTGAATGAAAAGAAAAAAAACGCTTCTGAATCGTTCCCATTTAAGAGCATGGTCGCGTGAATGGCATATCAGGCGGTACGATTCTCGCGCGTGAAACGTGACGCGTGACAAGCCGTTCCCGCCACTGCCCACCTTTCATATCATTAAGTTTTTTGTACTCTTTTTTTCTCCTAGCGAATAGGCCTTGCGTCAGTTTGTTGGTGTGGTAAATAAACTGCATTTCTTTGTGATAACTCGTATTATTTATTTCCCTTTCAACTTGTCCTAAGTTCGACGATAGTAGTACCAAACAACGGAACAGAGTACCTGCCTTGTAAATTCTTTTCTGTTCTTGTAATATGTAATTTTGTCTATTTGTCTCTCGAATATCTCGAGTCGTATTTTTTTTTTAATAATCTTTATTTCCCATCTTTGTTACTCGTTTGTATGATAATATGTTGTCCCAAAAATTCGTTGACGGAGTACACGCAAAAGACTTCTGGAAAACGACCAAAATGCATCTTTATTTATTGCACTAACAGATTGAACGTTTTACTCACAGTCGATCCATTAAGCGGAATCCGTATTTTTCGTTACACGCGATCCTCGACGAGATACAGCTTTCTTTCGAACTTAAAACCACCTCTGTGACCTCTGTTGCACCACCTCAAGATGCACGCACGCTCACGACCACGAACTTACAGCGTAGTCGACGAACACGTAACGTTCCGAGGAGAAGGTAAAATCACAGAGAATAAAATCGATCGACGCGTAGGATGAGGCTCGGATCACGATTAAGGTATCGTGTGCTGTGCGAACATTTGAAAGTGTAGGCTTGAAACGGAGACGCGAATCTTCCAAGCTGTAACACCGAGACATGTGTGTGTGTGTTACATCGAGATATATTTATCATCTGTTCCTAAATTCCTGTATTTCGCGCCTACAAATCTAGGTCCGCATATTATTAGATTCCTACTCCACATACCTATATTTGCTAAATTTACAATTCGATCTTTGGATCATTTATTTTCAAATTTCAGCATCTTTAGATCAAACTTCTAGATTCTCCTGTTTTACCTAAATTCCCATTTTTGTATTTCTACATTCTCAGATATTTACATTTCAAAACTTCATCCCCAAATCCCTGCATCCCCAAATCCTTGCATGTCCAAATCTCCACATTCCCATGTTCCTCCACCCACAAATTCTTAGATCACGAGATTCCTAAGTCTTCGACACCCCACATTTCCGAATCTGTGGATTCTTCAAGATCCCCAGATCTCCATATTGAGATTGTCCAACATACGAAACATTCGCTTGTTTAAAAAAGAAGAGTCGTTCGCATATTAATAAAGATTTTTAACAACGGTTTTGAGCAGCTGAGCAGCAACGAATCCTCGATTGACTTGCGATTATTGGTCTTTCGTTTCTCCGAGCTTCTCTAATGAACTTAACGATACGTCGCCAACGGGAAAGGATAGCCGGGAGATATCGCATACGGAACTAATGTGACCGCATTGTGCATGCACACGGAAAGCCGTGAGGCATGCAGTAAAAGGTTTAAATATAGCGCGTTTGTTACTTAAAATATCCGCGGCAGCTCAGATAGTCAGTGGAGCTATATCGGTCTGTAGTCTACTTGACTGGAAACACGGATGTTATTCCGATACGTTTTACCGTGGAGGATCCATTAAGCGGGGTCGAATCGAAAATCGTGCGGAATTTCGGGGTGCATCGCGTGGAACTTTCCGCGAAACCGCGAATGCAAATTCGGCACATTCGAGCATTCATAACCGGAGTCGTTTAAATGTTTTTTCCGAACTCGAATTCGCGGTAAATTCGCGGTAGAGCCAAAATATCGGCGTGGCGTGATTGAAAGTTTACGAGAAAAACCAGAAAAATATATGTATATGGAGTTCGCCGACGGTTGTAAAATTTTACGATCGACGAATGCTGCAACTTCTTTCGATATTTATCGACGAATATTAAAAAGGAACGTTTATCGCTGAGCAGGAACTTTGAGGATAAACGTGCTTTTAAAGAACGATGTTTCGAGGACACTTTGGAAAGCTTTCGCGAAGTATTCGAAAATTCGCGACTACTCGCAGCGAATAATTCGATTAGAAACTTATCGAAAAATCGTGATTGCTGGCGAATAGTTTGGAGGGAACGCGGTACGCGGTGACGATGGGAAAAGAGCCGGTAATTAAAAACGATAAAGATACGCTATCTGCGAAGCGAAATTGCTTTCGGCGATACAGCATGTCCGTTCCTCTCAACTTCGCAGAGTTTATGGAGGCAGCGATAAAGAAGCGACGTATCAAGCGTGCGGTACAGATTGATATATAACGCGGCAGATTACACATCCATTTTCACTACTCGTGCGTCAAGGATACAGGGCCGTGATTGCGGATCAGATGTACATACACGATGTTGTGATTAATTGCCATGGTTTCCCACGATACAATGATTAAACTAACGGTTCAACGTATTACGCGTCTCGAAAAACAAACAGTACGTACGTATGATTATCGGCTACGAAATGATCTCGTCGAGATCGGGCAATCGACAAACATACGACCGTGACAAAGCCATCAGCTTTCAGAACAGAGAACTCGAGCTTCAGCTTGTGTCTGCACTTGGCTACAGATAACAAAGTAACTTTGATCAGCCCAACCCGACGAAGTACGAATCGGTCGCTTGTCAACCACGCGATCAACCATCTCCCGTAATCTATAATGATCGATAACCTCTCGTGTTTCGACGGGCTACACGAGTTTTCCCAGTTAATCACCAAGTAACCGAGCTTCTAGATTAACCGGAACATCTGAACGAGAAAACCTTCGTTCCGAAATGTTGCAGGTTTCTGAACAAGAGCAGGAGCCAGGCGGCCATGATGGCGAATCGGGAGCGGGAACGGGAACGGGAACGAGAACGGGAACGGGAGAGAGAACGGGAGAGAGAGCGGGAACGGGAACGAGAGAGGGAACGAGAGAGGGATCGAGAAAGAGAACGAGAGCGGGAAAGAGAAAGAGAACGGGAGAGAGAACGAGATCGAGACGTGGACACCGAGGTCGAGTCGCCTCTGTCAACGAGGTCACGGTACGCGGCGTTGAAGGAAAGAAAACAACGACTAGCTCGGTCCAGAAGCTCGCACAACTTCGGCGGCGATGACCTCGACCTCGACGAGGAGCCACCCTCTCCGACGACCCAGTCGCCGAACGCTTATTTGGCAGCCAAGTACGGAGCCGGCTCTGAGCTGGCCAGAAGTCGGAGCACTCATGCTCTCAAGTCTAGAGAGCCAAGTCCAGAGCGCGATAGACCAGGAACCGAGAAAGATGGTGCCGCTTTGAGCTCTTGGGCACGGTACCTGAAGAATAAGTACGGGAATCGTAACGCCAAGGACAAGGAGCCTTCGTCGTCTACCTCGACTATTCCATCATCGAGGTGAGGACGGGGAAATCGGGTTGGTCTTCAAGGGACCTTTCCTATCATATGATCCGAAGATGAAATCGATAATCTAAGAGTGACATAAAGTTTCGTAAACGTCTTAATCAAAATATTGGATTTTTCAGCAGCAGCGCAACCTCGAGGAGGTTATCGCTGGGCCTACCATTGAGGCACACTGGTCAAACATCCTTCGAATCTTCTGACGACGATCAAAAAAACCCGTCAGGCTCCCCCACGTCCCCTACAGCAGCTCCCGTTATACCCGCGGCAGCAGGTTCCTCCACTAGGTGAGTTATTGCGCAAAGATTTGATGGGATATTTTGAAATGATAATGTTGAATTGTGACAGTAATGGCCGGAGGAGTCACTACTTGCTGAAGCGGCGGCAGCTGTTCAAGTTTGGGATGCGGGGGAGCGAAGCCGGATGCTTTACTTGGCCGAGAGGCCTAGCGGTTGGCCCGGACAACACCATCGTCGTGGCCGACAGCTCTAACCATCGTGTTCAAGTAATTATACGATATCTTATAACTGGGGATCGGTGTCATCGTATTTTAGAGAAAGGGTTCGAGTATGGGAAATTTCGCATTTGTGTTAAGGAGAATGAATCCCAAATTCCCAAACTCTCGACTGCCTAAATCCCCAAATCCGTAAATTTGCACGTTATCAAATCCCCGAGTGGCCATACCCCTAAATCTCCAAACTCAAATCCTCTAATGCAGAAAAATCCAAATTTTCACGTGGCTCAAATCCCCAAATCCCTAAACCCAAAGTTCCGTGCCTCCAAATCCCTAAATCCCCGATTCGAAAGTTACACATTATCGAAGTTCGAAATCCCCGAGACGGGATATATTGATAGAACGATGTTGGGAACGAGCGAAATTATAAACGTTTATCGACGGACGATCCGGTTAACGAGGAACGTTTGAATTTGCAGGTATTTGACTGTAACGGGAACTTCATGAAGGAGTTCGGAACATACGGAAGCGGTGAGGGTGAATTCGATTGCCTCGCCGGGGTGGCCGTGAACAGGATCGGGCAATATATCATCGCGGATCGTTACAACCACCGAATACAGGTTCTCGATCCTTCCGGTCGTTTTCTGAGAGCGTTTGGCTCCCAAGGAACCGCAGACGGTCGATTTAATTATCCTTGGGGAATCACCACGGATGCTCTTGGATTTATTTATGTGTGCGATAAAGAGAACCATCGCGTACAGGTACGTGTTATCGCGATACTGTTATTTATCTTTATTTTCGTTACGATACCGTTCGCGAAATCGTACGCACAGAAAACAACGCTCGTCCCTGCGGATGGATCTGCATCGCGCCACGTATCTTTGCTTCTGACGCTATCGATTGTATAATGGAACATACGATTATTGATATTTAGATACGATGTTAGTTTTCAGTGTTCTTTAACCCCCCTTCAGTCCTCGCTGTATGTGTACCTCAATTGTGTACAGTTGATCCTGAATAAACGTATGAACTTTTTTCTGCAATAAACAGTTAATTCTAAAGGTGATTCTTTGTTTGAACCCTTGAACATCGTTGCAACAAGCGAGCCCGACCATCAGAAACCGTTCGAGTTAGTAAGAAGAAGTAACGTATTCGGCAATGAACGAAGCGTAAGTGATGTACGAAGGCAGAACAATTCAGTGAAAAACCATCATTCCTTAGTATCGTTTAACCCCTTTCAGTGCTAAACACTTGCAACGAATCGATCGTACGTACACGTTAACAATTTCTGTCCATGAGTTAAACACGACGGATACTCGATATCTGTTCACAATGCACCGCTTCGATCGTTACGCCCGTAATCGCGTTCATGGGATCCCAACGACACAACTGTATATAACTAAAGATAATCTAACACCGTGTCACGTTAATACGAATCGCAAAGATGGACACGCTAAGCAACCTAAACCCCCCGTATACTTTGGCGTAACTAGATGGGGATCAGGGTGGAAAATTTCCAAATTCCCTGATTCCCAAATCCCCGAATTCCAGATAAGTAGAGAATACTGCAAACAGAATCGCAGGTTATGCCCGTGTAACAAACGAAAGCCATAATCCCCCGCAGCCGTGGTTTCGCCGGTAATCGGTCTAAAAGCATCTGTTTTCGCAGGTATTTCAATCGGACGGTACGTTCGTGGGGAAATTTGGTTCGTGCGGAAGCGGACGTGGGCAATTGGAGCATCCTCATTACATCGCGGTGAGCAACACTAACCGCGTGATCGTGAGCGACGGGAACAACCACCGTATACAGATTTTCGACGTGAACGGCCGTGTGCTGACCTCCTTCGGATCCGAGGGCTCCGACGAGGGTCAGTTCAAGTTTCCCCGGGGCGTCGCTGTCGACGACCAGGGCTACATCGTGGTCGCCGATTCCGGTAACAACAGGATACAGATATTTAGCCCAGAGGGCGCGTACCTCAAGAGTTTCGGCGGCTGGGGTAGCGGCGACGGCGAATTCAAGGGCCTAGAGGGTGTTGCTGTCACGTCGACCGGTAATATCGTCGTCTGCGATCGCGAGAATCACCGCGTCCAAGTTTTCTGATACGTTTCTGTCTATCTGCCTGTTTCCCTTTCTCACCCGTCTTTCTTTCTACCCTTATTTTCGTCGACCAGGGACGTCGAGCGATCTCAAGGAGCTTTAAAATCGATACAGCATTTCTCAAGGTTCTTTCTAACGTACGCGTAATTAGAACAACGTCGTGGTCCGTACATCGATACGAGAACGGGCTTTCCGAGTGGACGGACAATATCGCGTGGAAACGAAAAAAAATGAAATCGAGCATCGTTTCGGGGGTTGAAACGTTAACCGCTTGCTTCGTTAGGAATTAACATAGGCGTGTTGTGTTGAGCTAATATTCTCGCAGGGGAAGCCCTTTGATTACAGACCATGGAAGCTATTGTCACCGAATGGGAGAGGGATTATTCGTCTGCTCGCTATCGATCGGAACTTACCTCCCTTTTGCGATTTATCTCGATGATGTAACTCGTCGAGCAAAGAAACTCTTGGACGTCGGTGGTTCAACGAAAACGTACATCGTTTATCTAGTCTTCTCTCTCTCGTCGTACCCCCTCCCTCGCTCTGTTACCTTCCTCGTGCGCACATCATATCCGCGTAACTTAATTTAATTTATACTCAAAGTGACAACAATACAGTTTGTACCGTTTGTATGCTTTAAATAAATTGTTGCGGAAGAAAGAAAAATTAAACAAAAATGGAGAAACAGAGTATGTAGTTTGTTCGAACCCCCTTGTTCTTACGGAAAGTCGAAACGATAAGAGAAAAGAAAATGAAAGAGAAAGTCACCTTTTAGCGATCCAACGACGACCTCGTTCCGGTAAACCACCCCCTGGAAAATTAGGACGATTCGTTGTCGTGACTTGGACGTTTGCCTAGAGCTAGAATAGAGAAACAAACAGGGGGGTAAGTCAAAAGGTAAGTGAGTCAATAAATATATAATTTATTAAATGCAATGATGAAATGGTGTAACAATAGGGGGTGGGCGTATGGAGATCCGTTGGATCACCACAAAGGGCGGACAAGAGGTAATACGCTGCCCCAGCCCAACGCACCCCGGATCGGAAATATAGATAAAATATTTTCGTTATTATTTACAATATTAGTTGAACGTTAGTCAATAAATAATAAACAGTGGCGTAATCCTTTATTTAATATAATTTAATAATGTAATATTACGTTTGCGATAATAAAAATATTACAAGAGATGGAGCCTTTATTACCATTATTCGTTTCCACTAAAAGTAGCACGAATCTGTTTAAATTATTGCCGCCATCGTTCGAAGATTCGCGCGAAAATAGACGAGATTCCCTTCGAGAATACGAACAGATTCTCTTCGCGAATTTATGAGGAATTCCTTCCTCCCGTTTGTTTGATCGACGACGAGGTCGAAAAGGGAAAATCGACTCGATTTTTTAGCGAATGTTCGAACGCGAATAACGTCGGCTGGATGTAGATGTCGAAACAGCTGTCGAAACCATCAACCTTCCGGGATAGTCGCTCTTCGCGAAATCGAATGGGATTTAACAAATAATTAATCGGCGTTACGCTTCCTCGATATCGTGTAGAAAAATCGCATTTAGACGACGCGAGAGGTCGGGACACCACGCCATCCGGATTATCACAACGAAAGTACGCGACATGCTTGGACGTTATTATCGAGTAATAATACAGAGCGTTTGATACCTCGATAAGACTAGAAATATGTTTATGTAACGCACGGGCCAGGCAGGCAGCAAGCAGGTACAAAGTGACCGTCGTCTTAATCAAGGAACAGTGAGTAGAACATGAGCTAGGCACCGATATCCGATCGTTTCGACCTTTTCGACATCGTGATACAAACGTCCTACAGGATGCCTCGCGATACATCAACATGACCCATCGAAACCATGAACAAACGAAAAAGTAGACAGATCGTATCGTTCGAACTTTTCGTCCGATAAGTTTCTTTTTTTCTTCCTATTCGTTAATCGTTCGGCGGAATGATATCGTAAAAATCTATAATAATTTTTTTTTTTGTTTTTTCTTAAAACAAGGGAGTCGTGTTGATTTATAACGCGACATCTTACACGCGTATATATCTCGTGCGATTCTTCTTGGAGAATTGGACAATTGGAAATATTCGAATCTATAGCGCGAATCAATCATTCCCAATTAGAAGAGAAGTTTTCATTGAATAGTCCTCTATACCTACTGATTCGTCTCTGCATCTAGAAAGTTTAGTTTGAAAAGTGGCATGACATATTTGTTTTTCTCATCTGTATCGAGTTTAATTAAGTAGTAATAAAGTTATAATTAATTATTTAATTAATTAATTAATTAATTAAAGTGGCAGCAGTTAGGCCATGCGGCTCCTATCATCTAGTCGTCTTTGACTCTTGGCTTTCTTACGTAGATTTAAAAATTTCTTTACTTATTAAACTTTTTTTATATTTTGAGAATAATTTGTATTAAGTGTGACTTTTAAAGTTTATGTATCCTCGAAGCGCCTACCCTAGCGATGTCTTTTAATTAATAAGTATTTTTTATGCATTTTCTCGAGTATTTTTCTTTCCCTTTATCTCGGTTTGTTCGTCCTCTTCCTCTTCCGTACCCTCGATAATTTCGGTATACGTGGTAATTAATGCGATTCTAGATTAATTAACGGGGAATTCTGAAATATTTCATTTAGCGGCCGTCGACTTTTCCATCGGAGAGGACCGTCCCTAATCGCGACTGAAAAATACTGTGTGCTTAATATTTTTGATACACCGGACTTTTACCGTTTGTCCTCGGTAAAAGTTCTGGAAAAGCGACGTGACCGCTCCGCGTTTATAGAGATCGGGCCATTATCTCGAAAGCTCTCGAAAGAAACCGATTCGTTTCGGCGTGCACGGACCTACAAATTCCTTCTATCGTTCTGCTTTTTCTCGGAAAGTCACGATTCTTTGCGCGTAAAATTTTCCAAATTTTATTGCCACGCACAAAGTTGCGCAAGCCCGACGCTAAAGACTAGAAAAAGAAAAAACAACGATTCCTAAGGGTGAGATCTCCTTTCTTCGTCGGCCTCGTTTCCCCCTTCTTCTCTCTTTTTTTTTTGTGTTTTTTTTTGTCTGTTTGTTAATGTACTATACTCGCTAGCCCTCGTTTAATAGTTTTCTTAAGTATGTAATAAGCAAAAATATGAATATAATAATAGTTTTGTGTATATAATAATAATTATCATTATTATTATTATTATTATTTTACTCGTCTCGTTTTAAGTATCAATAGGATCGTGATTAATTAATTAATTAACAATGATTAAAAGAGTGTAAGAATTTGTTATCTCTTTCTTCGTTTTTCTTCCCATTCGCATCCTTCCCTCTCTCGTCCGCATTCCCGTTCCTTATTTTTTGTTTTCTCTCTTGTTTTTATTCATTATCAACTAATAATTCTTTAAGCTTAATGGCATGAAAATGCTCGTTGGAATTGACTCGTGTGTGTACAATTTACTAGAATCTCTTTTTCTCGTTCCGTCACGCGATCCGCATAATTATTAAACCACGCTACAAAAATCTCGTAGCTCGTCTTCAAACCACCGGAGGATCAACACAGGATTTTTCTTTGTATTTTCTTTTTAATTTTTTTTTGTTTTTGGTATTTTTTTTTCTGTTTAATTATCGAAAACGAGGATCATCGATCGGTCCATCCTATCCGACAGATCTGACGGCGTATAATTATTTTATCTCGACTCACCATAACTGGATTTTTTGTATTTTTATCTGTCTGTCTGTCTGTTACGCGTCTCGACGACACGTGCAACCCCCGTGAACGCCCGAGACGTTCGATACCATTTTCCTCACTGTAACCTGTATATTTTTTGTTTTTCGTTTTAGTATTTTCTGCGGAAATACTTTCTTCGATCACCATTATAATTTTATCACAATAGATTTTTGTCTTCTTAATAATCAATCTGAACGCGGGTACCACGGCTGTGCCCCCGTGTCGTATTTTAATAATTCCGCCTCGCTACGCCTTAATTTTACCTCTAGCTTCGCGTCGTTTGTATCTTTTTTTTTTCTTTTATCCCCTTCTTTCGTTATCTAAAGAACCTTTTTAAAAAAATTCCCTACTGGAGAGAGAAACGGTAGGTAGTTTTGTAACAATGTAATCGACTATCTCTTACCCTATAATGTAAACTCTACGAAGTTGATTATACTGTGACTTTAAGCACAGCCCGTGGATGAAAGTGCCCTCCCGTTTAAAATGGAGAAAGGGCTCTTTTAATTTCTTTTATTTTTTTTTTATTTTTTTTTAGATTTTCTTTTCTTTTTTATTCGGTTCATAGTTTTACTTTTTCTCGTTCAAACTGTCTCTAGTACTCATTCTTCTTTTTTTACTTTGTTCTCTAGCAGGCTTTCCGTTCACACTCTCTCACTCGTCCACGCTCTCTTACTCTCTCCCTCTCTCGCGCTCTGTATTTTCTCTCTCTTTCTTTCTAGAGCTCAGATATACCAGATTTCCTCGAAAATAAGATGCTTCTTATTCATCGACCTGAATTGTATTGCCTTTCTTTTGTTAAGCAACAAAGAATTTTCGTGCAAGGAAGAGATCATTGCTGCCACCCAACGGAATTATGCTGCCTCGATATCTCTTGAACGTTCGCGTACAACAGATATCGCGTCATAATTGTTATCACGGCAAATTGAACGTTCGTGTCATGCTCGACCGTAACGAAGAAAATGAACGGAAAGAAGGAAAGGCGACGACACGATTCGAGTTCGCTTCGATTTCGCGCAAAGCTGTAAAAAAGAAACGGTGAAAAGTAAATGAGAAACGTATTCGACGCTTCGAACCTTTAATATAATACTTAAGTGAATCGTCGAAGATCAATCAAAGCAAATCAAGCGTCTCTTAATCAACACAACGCGCAATTGCAAAAAAGAACACTGAACGCGTTTGCTCAATCCGACAAACCGATACATACGAATAAAAACGAAACTCCAAAATACAGTAAAGAGAAAAAAAGAAAATGAACGATAAGTCTTATCAATACTGTACTCCTTTCGTCGCGACATCGAGTCTTGTACTTAAATTACGTAACCGCTGTACGCGAAGTAAAAAAAGCAACAAAGAAAACAAACGTCTTACGAATTACGAGACCGCTTCGACGGACGCGTGACAAAAAAGTAAATGAACTTCGAGAACGACTCGGTGCCAAGGAATCGAAAAAGAACGAAATAAGAAAAGAGCTATGTATACGGTGTGCCAAATCAATGCAAATATATAAAACGATCGTTCTCAAAGAAGGTATCAGCAAAGAAACATAGCCTCTTTTGTACTCTCAGTCGTAAAGAGTCGATCAATCGATGCCCGAAGCCGGAAGGCAACATTCTATGAACATGCTTCGATCAGCTCGACCTTAAAATACTTATGCATCATCTATTATGCTCGAGTAACGTAACACGCTACTCGAGAGGACAATGAAACCCACCTACCTCTGGTACCACTTAAGCGTCACGTCGACCGAGGAAAGAAAAGAAAATGCAGGGGCGTACGCAATAATAAAAACAATGGCAGCGTTCGAGAAGAAGAAGAAAAGAAGATAGTGAAGCGAATAGAAAAGAAAGAGGAAAGAAAAGGGAAATAAAAGAGATAGATCAAGGACGAGGCACGAACCTTTCGAGTCGAGCTGCGGGGACAAAGATGCGAAAGGTGGAAAGATTGTTTAGATTAAAGGCAGGTACACGATTAATTTAGGGATATAATAGAGAGCAAAGCTTGTCCGTGTGGCTGGTCGTCAATCGCCTTTCGATCGTCGACAATTTATCCCCCAATGGACTTCGTCGAGAAAAATTCCGTCGTAGCGGCCTACTGACGACCAATATCGCGGATGGCTAGGCTCTTATTACTTTGCTTCCGGTGTAACATCGCCATTCTGCGTGCCGTTCGATCGACAGTCAATTAAGTGACCTCTTGGTTGGCGGCTACTAGGCTGGCCCCTGGGCTAGATGAGGGCGAGCTTTGGGGGACAGCAACCGCCCGTAAAATGCCCGCTGGCGGCCTCCCGTTCCCGTTTGCGGCGGCCCTGGCGTTCTGCAGCCTAGGTTCGAGAAATGCAGATCGTTTCATGTATAGATCGTGTTCAATCGCGTTGCGCTACTGCGAATGTGCGTACATGACACTGAATGATCAAGCACTCTGAAGAACACGTCAACTACGAAACAACGAGCGCATCTAAATCGTTCAATCCGCAATTAACGCTTTGCTCGGTCTAATTGGAGTACCTTTGTCTTAACTTTACTCGTTTGAGTATCTTCGCGTTAAGTGTTGCGATCCTAAACAATTTCGCTAGACTTATAAATTTAGAACTCGTGAAACGTGAAGATTCGAGGAATTTAAGCGCAACATTTAACGCGTTGATGAAAAAAACGAGTATCCTTTCTGAAAGTGTTTTCCGCTAAGTAAAAAGTACTTCAATCTAAGGAAAATCCAACCAAACAGTAACGTAAACGAAAGACTATTCTATGAGAGGAGCAAAGCGATAATTGAAGAGTATCTTGTCGTCTCTATGAACAAGCCTCCGTATGAACATCGTTGCATGGACTGGTGTGTTACGTCGTACCACGGTTAAAGACATATAAAAACAGAAAACACAAAGCACCGGTTACATTCCGTAATTATAACACAGAAGCTAATCGAGGAATGATTTCGTTTCGTATACTAGAGAGATCGTTAGTTTTGTTGTTTCTTTCTTTTTTATGTCGTGAAACAGGGTGCACTGATCGTCCTGGTGAAAGCGATAGAGCAAGTATCCCTCGTAGAGATACAGGGAGCGATAAACGAGCAGTGTTTGCCGCGCGACAATCGCCCTACTTGTTTTCGTTACTTACCGGTCGTGAATCGTCCCACGACAAGCTGCATTAGTACACACAGAAGAGGGAGACTTTAGAACTTTAGATGTCTTTCGTACGATAAGCCTTTCGTGTGCTAACAAGAAGTCTACATAACTAATAATGCGTGCACATCGTTGCAACAGGAAATGCAATTATGTGCACCGACTGATACTAACTTGATTTTCGACTGCCGCATAAACTGTTGTATCTTCCTCGCGGCCTGATGAGCAGCCTGCTGATGAACCGCCTGTTGTCTCGAGCTAGCCGAGCCTGGACGCGACCGATAATTCCGATAGTTACTTTGTATCACCAGAGCAGCCTTCGTAGCTTGTCTGCGAACACACGAAAGGGTAGAGGCTCGTCAAGTAAAAATGTTTAAAGGGTGACTCGCTCGGAGAGATATGCACTACGTGTGTATGTAACGTGCGCGTGTGCGTACAATGAAGAACAGCGGAAGAAGCGAAAGAAGGTAAAGAAGCTTTCATCTCAAACAAAAGTCGTATTAATTTAATGCCAGGTTAATTTTGTATTCGGAACGCCGCGGCGGAGGTAAGGAAGTTCCTAAAGTTTTCGAATTATTTACGATGCCAATTAAAAGTTCGCCAGGAGCCCACCTTTGGGAGGTGGATAGAATGAACTTCGCTGAAATCCGTCCGATTCAAACGGATCGTTAAATTGGCCCCACCACGATGGTACGCCCTGTCCTCCACGTTTTATTAATTGCCGCTTATTAAAACTAATGTTTCGACCCGGCGAAACAACCAGGCGAATTTAACGACGTCGACGAACAACGGAACGGATCGATACGATGCACGTATTTCGTACGAATCCGTGCCCGTGTCACCGTCCACCCAACAGACTCGAAATCGTCCGATCTCGGTTTTAGTGGAGGAAAGATTACGACAAAGGGAAACGAAGAGCGAACGAAACGGCCGCGTCGTGTTAAGCTAAAAACAGATTACCTAAAATAAGCGTACTGTTTATGTCGACGATAATATTGTTGGATGAGTACAGCAGCGTGTCTCTCGGCTTCCTCTTGTCTCTGACGTCCCTTGTAATTTCTGTAGGCTTTCTGGATCATTCTAGCGGCATGATAAAGTTCTCTTTGCTCTCGATCGGACAGAGTTAGCCTGCTCAGATCCGCTTCGTTTCCGTCACCGTTTCCGTTACCTCCACCTGTTACTGTTCCGCATATGCTAGAGCCGATCACGTTACCGAACTTTCGATCTCCACCGGACGTCGAATAGTATTGGCCGTTATGGCCGTTACTGTTGTCGAGCTGCAACTGCAGCTGCAAGAATTCGCAGAAGTCGGCCGTGGTCGGCGGTGGAGATGGCGAGTCCGGTGTGAGACAGCTGCTAGACGGACTCGAAGGACTAGCATCCGCGTCGGCATCCGAGACCGATGCCGCTCCTCCGCTGCACTCGCGATACGAGTCGAACAATTCTCCAGAATCGAGCGGCTATAAGAATTAGGATAATCGTGCGAGCAATGAATCGTTGTGTGTCAGAACGTTCGGAAAGTATGGGATCGTTGCTTAAGCGATCGTGTCAGGCGATAGCGGAGAACGCATCGCCGGTTACTCACCATCTGTTCCATGAGAGCGTCCTCTAGAGGAGACAAGGGCGGTGCCGTTGGAGGTGGCGAGGAAGAAGACGGAGAATCACCTTCCGCTCTCTTGATCCTTTCCGGTAGCGCTGCTATAATTTGCTCAGCCAATGTCAGCACCCTCGCGTCTTCTTCCCCTATAAAAAGGAATCACCACCCTAGCCAAAACTCGAAAAAGGTGTTACAGGACCACCGAAATCACATCGATCACAACACCAAAGTTTTTGTTTACTTTTTTTTGTTTGTTTCTGTTTGTTTTTTTTTTTTTTTGTTAGCCGTGAAAGTATCTTACGATGAATCAAATCTGACGTTAATGGAACGTGTAACACCAAAAATTAGGCAGATTAATTCGGTACGCAGCGGAGATCTCTACACGACACGAATCGAACGTCTTCGAACAGGCAAATCGAACGGCGAGCGTAGACGTTTATTTTCTCAGCTTGTCGGAAGTTCTGCTCTACGGGTGATTCGACGCAGCCCGTGTGGTATCAACGGTAACGTGTCCGTACAGATCACGTGTTCTCGTGTAAATTGTCGCTTAACTTCCAATTGTCACGGACGTGTCCAGTTTTTAAATACTCGTCAGCGTGAACCCAGATACGAGACTGTCTGTCTCTCGAGGAATCGGTCGGCAGCCGATAATAGGCGGCTAAGAAAGTTTAGACGTTACACAGCAATCATCCAACACCAGCGGTTACGAAGGCCAAGCAACACCAATACTGCTTTAAGCTGCAATAGTTCAGAGGAGTTAGAGGACAGCGAGCCTGGACCATATATCCGGTCGTCTCGTACGCACAGACAGAGAGACAGGAGAAAAAGAACGTTGTGTGTACGTGGAAAAAGGTGTGGTTACGGGTGTGTTATGTATAACGTGTGAGAAAACAGAGAGAAAAAGAGAGAGAGAGAAACAGAGAGTTAAGGGACGCAGTTTTAGCTAGGAATACTACGGATCACAGCCCGCGCAGTACTGTTTTTATCTAGGCCGATGAATCTATAAGTGTATTATTAGAAAACAGACAGAGTTACGAATATAGTTACAGACAGACAGGCAGACAGACAGACAAATAGAAGGGGAAACGAGGAAGGTACGGACCTACAGTCTCCTGAGGGGTCGGAGCGCTCTCCATTCCCTGCTCGCTGAGGGCTAATGACGAGTCATCCTCTTGCAACAATTCCATGTTGTCCAGCAGCGGTGAGCCACCTGTGTTTTTCGATAAACCCCTTAATACTACGTTTCCTGATTAATCGCGCTCGCATGACTTACGACCTTGTTACACTAATTCTTACAGGAGGAGATTTATGGCGCGGGGGGTGTATTCAAGGAGAAGGAACTGTGATTTACGTGTTGGACGTGAATGTATGTGCGTGTATATATATATAAATATATACGGAAGAGGGCAGTATAATAGCAAACGAGACTAACACAACGCCAGATCGAGACCGCTGTCTTGAGATGGCCTCCTAGGACTAGGGCTGGCGGGTCGCAAAAACAGCCTCTCGTCTTGCCTTCTCGCTTCGAGTCGATTCAATTCTTCCGCGATAGCCGTGTGACCGTTCTCTGCCGCTAACTCGGTTGCGCTTCTATTCTGACAATCCCTCACGCGAAGCGCCATCGCGTTCCATCTGCGTAAATGGACCAGTTGTTCTTGATACCGTACTACATTCATCTATTATCCCTCCTTCTGTCGGATAAACTACGAACCTATAAAGGATCCTGGCAGTATCCGCGTGTCCCGCTGCACAGGCCCAAGCGAGTGGCGTGAGACCGGCGCTATCCTGCCTCAGTGCGTCAACTTCAGCATCTAACACGCTACTAGGATTTTCCGCCCTCCAATGGAGGAGGGCGCAGGCTAACCTGGAGTAGCCCAATCCGGCGGCCAAATGTAACAGAGTTGGACCGCCGGATTGTAATGGTTCCGCTCCGGCTCGCCACGGACGGACAACAGCATCCTGCAACGCAAACTCCATGTACACCGCGAACAAGCAACTTTGAACGAGAAAAAGCAAGCGCGATACTGACTTGACAGTACGCGACTAATCGCTCTTCCAGATGAGCCGCAGGAGATGGAGGACCAGGTCCTTGCAGACGCGATTCCACGTCCGCCAAACGATCCACCAAAGCTCTTTCTGGACTCGGTTCGCTCGTTGGTGCTCTACGATACTCGAAGGCAACGCTGTCGGACACGACAAAACCGTCGCACGCGACCTGAAGGGACGCGATTCCCGGAGCGTGAGCAGGACAACGGCAACGCAATACTCCTGGTTGCACCAAGCACGCTTCCACTGGTTCGGCGTCGAACAACACCGAGTAAGATTGAGAATTGCTACCACCCGTCCAAGGACCAGCGACCAGCACCTGAAACCGATACCAAATCCTGACACTTCTGAATTTGGGAATTTAGTACATATTTTGTGGAGTCCAAACCAACCCTATCTAGACCAAGGAATAAACATACCTTTACGCCTCCTTCGGTGTAACTCCACTCCGGACTATATTCGGCAATATGGACGGTAGTTCCAGGATGGCATCCCACGTCGTTATCTGACCCGCCTCGCTCTTCAGCCTTAGTCTGTTCGGCCTCGAAATCATGAAGTTCCGGCAAATCACCGAACACGTCGAACGCGTCCAAGTTAACGAGAACATCGTCCGACGAATCGATGAAATCCATCGGATTGATCATGCTATTATCTGCCGGGGAAGGCGACGGTGACGGAGGCACCATATTCGCGGATAACGTTCGTTGAATATCCTCTTGACTTAGATCCAAGGTCTCTGCGAAGTCTGTGACCTCCGAACCCGTGCCACCGATCGGCAATGATTGCACCGTGGAACGATCCATGCTTTCTTGGGCTTCGATCTCCTGTTGGGTCTGTTGTTCCCTGTCCACGCTCGTTTGTTGCACGATTTGTTGTTCCGTAACCTGCTGCATTTCCACCTGTTGGCTTTGCTGCTGTTGTTGCTGCTGCTGTTGCTGTTGCTGCTGCTGCTGTTGTTGTTGCTGCTGCTGCTGTTGCTGTTGCTGCTGTTGCTGCTGCTGTTGTTGTTGATGGTGATAAGGTTGGCTGTTGAGTATCAGAAGACCGCCCCCGCCTTGAATTTGTTGCAAACTTAAAACTAGAGGAGCCGGTTGTTGGCTTTGAGTCGTGTGGGAATGTCTCGAGTATACGCGGGGAGCCGGTGAGGCTGTTGCTGACGATTGCTGACCTCCGGTAGTAGAAGAAACCTAGTCATTAATAGGAGAATTGAACAACCGGTGTTTATGGTCTTTGTTAGTGGGAATAATACGCGTTATTAGGAAAGATTCTCTTCGTTGGAAAGCTCGAAAAGGGTACCTGATTGTCCGGTGTTAGTCTCCTAGGTGCAAGTTGAGTGCTGGTGGTAGAAGAATTGGAAGATGCTCTCTGCCTGTCCAACAGTTGAGAAACTATCATGTCGACGGGATGATTCGAGTGTTGCGTAAGATGAGGATTGTTGGGGTCGTCATCTCCACCGAGGAACATGGGCCTAAGCTGAGAAGCCAGCTCGTCTCGCGTCCACTCTTTCTTGTCTGGCGGCAGTGCGAGACACGGTGGCAGCGCCGCTAGCTTAGCATCACCGTCCGGATAAGGAACGTTTAAGTAATGAACGAGGACGACGTCTGGATTCTGGAGTAGCCAATAACATCGCCGATGAAACGTCGGGAGGATCGCCGAGTGCACGTAGCAGCCGTAAATGCACTCGACACCCTGGACCTGTGATTCGACGGAGACACAAAAATCTCACTTTGACGAGCACGGTGCAATCGGGGACCCTTTCTGGTCCCGTTCATAAGCAACGAACTACCTTCAGCTTCATGTGATCCTCCCGTGTAGTTTTGCCGTCTTTTCGTTTCTTCCAGCAATAACCGTCTCGCCGGTAACGGACTTTCTTTCTCGAGTACAGTAACATCGAACCACTTCGGGGTCGTACCTTCACCTCCCGACTTTGCCATTCCGCGTGTCTTTGGAAACTGATCAGGATGGCGGCGATTTCCTATCGACAGATCGAACCGTTTCGATGTAAAATGACAGTTCAGTCTAAATAACGCGATTACTGTGCGCGGCTCGTCGATCAAAGGCATTCGTGTCTCGTCTTATTTATAGTTACGTCACGACGAGCGACACCCTCGGGGAAGTGCAACTGGAAACTCTTCGAGATGACGGGGATAAGGCAAACTCGACAGAAGTAGGATGTGCGGATTCGAAGGAGCGTATAGACATTCTTCGAGCAATCCTGCTGACATCTAGCCTTTCCCCAGGATTTCGCTTACTTTTGCAAATCGCGCTGATACATCTCCAATCTCCCTGCCACCCACCCTATCGTCCCACTTCTCGATTCATGACATCGCGAGCGTAAAAGCGGCGCGGGTCGAGACGACTCGTGCAAAATATTCGCATACATTTCGCGACCAGCGTCGAGATATTCCTCGCGCTGGAATCCTCCGCGTCAAGAAGCATACAAAGTAAGAAAAAGTACCGAGTCCATCCATCCGGAGAAAATCATACGACGGGATGTCATCCGTTATCCTCTGACCGTCTCTCATATTTCTTTCCCTTTTTAAACGACCGTAACCGAAACTTTTGCTAGGACGTTGAATAAAACGTTGATCGCTCTAAGACGGCATAAACCGTAAGCAATGCGCGCGTTTCTTTCCTTCATGTTTATGTACTATTAATAAAATAGCAGCTCGGTTATTATACAGTTCTTATCGATTTCCCGCACGAAGAACCGGCCGCCTCGACTCGAAACAAAACGCATAATAATGCAGGACGATGGAACGAGGCAGGAAACCGGTGTCTGAAAAGAAAAAACGTAATTACCGACGAACAGATTTTACAGGGTTAATCGTGACACGTCGTTTTCCACGTCGAATACAATACGAGTCGACACGCGACTGCTCGCGAACGGAACGTGAACTGGACGATGTAAAGAGATCACGCACAGAATTAAAAAGAATAGTTATCCGCAATTTCTGCTTCGACTGTGACGACCAGCCTCTCTTCGTACAAAGAAAAAAAGCGAACGTGCGACTAGAGGTGAAATAAGTACGTGAGCAGAAGGCGTATGGCACGCGATCTAACGTGGAGAAATGCAAATCGAACGCCAAACTGCAGCTACGAATCGTTCTAACCATAGAAAAGGTGGCTGGCAATAAAATTCCCAGCCGTTGATACGAAAGTTCAGTCAGCGGTGCTTCGCGTGTCTCGCTTTTGTCGATCAATTCGGCGCGATGCAACGATTGCTCTTTGGTCGGACATGCAGACCCAGGTCCAAATTTAAATTATGCAGTTCGAATCTATCAAGTGCGAACGCGAGTCAACGTTGAAATTTTAAACACTCGCGTAGAAATCTAAAGAGACTTTTATAGCAGCTGCGAATGGAAACGTGACAATCGTTTACGCATAACACTCTCGGACTCGCACTTAGGATAAGCGACTTACTGTCATATTAGCGCATTAAAGTCGCAGCGATCGTAATTTAATAATACGAATAAAATCATTGGACAAGCTGTATAACTCGTTTAAAGATTTATGACGCTTTTCTGATAACGAATCACCGAAGCTATAATCTGTGGATTATCGTGCGAGATTGGGCAAATGTCTTTTCCACGACATCTGGGAATAATCCGGATACCAAAGGAACAATCGAAGCTACACGACCACAGGGATCGAGGAATTTTGCATGGACTAATGGTCGTTGATTGGGGTTGCTTGTCTGGCAAGCTGTAGCCACAAATCGTACATTTGAAATGAGCTATGGTAAGATCGCGTTTGTCGTGGTGTAGTTAGATGGCAAGGGCATATTGCCAATTAGAGACAGAATCACCGATTACCTTTGTTACGAATCGCGTACAATGAAACGGCTGCGGGGAAGAAAGGTTAACCGTGAACACAGAGAATCCGTAAAAATAGATTACAGCAATTATCGGGAAGCTTCGTCTGATTCTGGAAGGTAATTGCCGAGGAAAGGAAGACCGGAGTATGGCTCGGGGTACTTAATATCTTTGTACCGTTCCCGTGGGTGGGAAGTTCGAGTTTCCAAAGGTTCTCCAGCGAACGTGGCCTGGATATAAATATTCTTAACGAGGGATGGATGAGAATGAGCAGGACGGGGTAAGTGGAGTGGCTGGAAAGGAGGGATATGGAATAAGAGCCCAACCGTGGGCTACACACTCACCCATTATACAGGGTGTCCCACATACGACTATTGTTCCTTTCTTACCGTCTTAACGCTTCGTTGAATTTCCAAATTCAATTTTCTAAGTCAAGGATTCTCGCGATGTGGGTTTCGACTCGCTAATGGACAGAAACTTTAGGATATTGGGACCTTGAAATTTCACAACTTTCTTAGGACTTTGAAACTTTTCAATTTTGGAACTTCGGAAATTTAGACTTCAGGACTTTGCAGAAACTTCCAGAGTACACGGACTATATCACAATTTTCTAAGCTAAGAAATGCTAATTTTCTACAGCAACGTTTAATAACCCGATACGAATCTAAAGAATCAATCTAAAGGAGCGATAAATACTTTGTCCCAATTTCCGAGCAGGTTCCAAGAAAGCTGGATATACCTGCCATATCGCATTGATTTACAACTGGTTAATTGATCATTTGCATTCCGTCGGGGAAGCAGAAAGTAAAACTTCTAGCCCCGATTCTTTCGCCATGAATTCGTGAACACTTCCTTCCTACCTGTCTCTTTATCCGTAATTATGCGAATCTGATCAACGAGTACGAAAAGGTCAAGAGATAAGTAAAAATACTTGCAAAAAAGAAACGAGATTACTTGTCTTCAGTATTAATAGTTTGCGCGAGGCTCCCAGGAGGTAAATTGATTTTCTATGCGTTACCGTATTTCGCAACGTGCCAGACGCGAAATGGGTCAGGCAACGATGGAGGCTAGTTTAACTTGAAAGACGGCGTCTGACAGTGCATATCGTTACGTTGCGTGCAAGGTCGGTCGGCTTCCATGCAAAACGCCAGTCAGACTCACAAAAATTTTTACCGCTCCTAATTGCGTACATAATATTCGTGTTCCCCCCGTGTCAATTTTTTCTTCTCCCGTACACGAAATTCTGCTAGGTGATATATCCACGCGGAAGAAGGTCAATCTCGGCGTACTCTTTGAACGTTGGAACGCATAGATCCTTCAAGGGACGATGAAAGAGCCCATAGATTCCTGCATTCGGTTTAGCGGATACGTAAACGAGACGCCTTCTGTCCCGCGTGTTACCGGAAAGGATGTATTCTCCTTGATTTACGAATGGAAAAGCACCGATAAATCGACCCTCCTTCCGACGCCCATAACGAAGATGCTACGTCTATTCGACGCTTCCTGTTTACGATGGATACCCGAAGAATTCCGTGGAAAATCGATTATCGGTCTACTACAGAAATAAATTACAAAAATAACGCGAATTCGAGGATATTTCGGTGCTACATCACCCGTATCGACTCGAGGTACAAGTAGAACGTAATGCGCTCGGGAGAACAGTAGAATTGTCTCTTTATAGTCAGACGCTGCTTCGTAACTGCGAAAGTCCCGGGCGTTCTTCGGCCACATTTTATTCCGAATGTATTTCCAAACTTACGGTAAAGCAGTACAGAATTGTTCCTCGAATACAAAGCATCAATTTTTAAAGACATAACTCTTAATCGCCGTTCAACGTAAATTAAAACGAACGATAATTTGTTTCGCAAGATTAGAAAGCATTATCGTAGAGGCTGCTATCTATTCGACACAGGAAGTTGTTAGAAAAAGGCGAAGAAAATTACCGAAATGGTATAGGCAATCGATAAATGTAGAAACGATAACGAGATGCACTAGCACTATCTAAAATTACATTCTCACCGGGCCACAATATCGTTCGGGAATATAGTCGGTGGTCAGAGGTGCATCTGAGAAATTGCATATCGATATAGCATGGGTAAATATTCCGATACAAAGGTTTTAAAAGAACGAGCCAATTTTTATTACGCATCAAGGATCGACGATAAAATTATTTTGCCAACGCAAACTTTTCGGGGCAAACTGGCGATTATCTTCCCATAATTGACGTCGAACCGAATTTGGAAAGAAACGACGTCAACGTCGACAATAACCGTGTTTACAAAACGTTGATTCGGAAGTTGCGTCCAAATACGAGTCTCGTAGAAAAATGGCCGAATCGGGAATTGCATTACCGACTGTGCAAACTAACGTTTAATTGCGTCGGCTGTCATTGTGTACCCAGGTAAACGGTAGCCATTCAATGCATTTATACTCTGCTGCAATCGGAAATCAATAAGCAAACAAAAACATTGTTTTCGGATCGATTTCCGCTTACAGATAGATAGGCCATGTGGCTTCGTATGCTCATCAATTAAACGAAATGTTATCGGAGAAAACTGACGGCCAGGTCGGTATCCGTGTGAAACAGAAAATTCGACTGTAATCCGGAATACGATAAAAACGGGTTAAACGGAAAAAAAATCAAATATCGCGGGCATAAAACTGTATCTGGTTCAAGATAAACAGAAAATGTTCTAATTGAACAATTATTTGCTTTCCGAGTCGAAGCCAACCAGATCTACATATTGTTACGTGTTCCAGATTTTCGAACACTTACCCGGCATTATGGTCGGTTACCGACTAATAAATCAACGTCGTTAAATCTCATTACTCGACGCCAGAAGTGCAAAAAAAAATATGGTGTGCTTTCGTTCGGTGTAGGTTAAAAATTATTACTATAATTCGCCTCTGGGAATATATTCAGCGGCGGGTGTCTCGTTACAAATGGGAATTCATCAGGCAACGGTAATCAGAGCGAAAGGAACACGACAGAAATTATCTCGAGAAGTTATCGGGAAGCATCGGTTTGGATGGAAAACTGGAATACCAGAAACGTGACGGTATTCTTGAAAGGGGGATGAGAAATCGATGAAGCAACGTGTACGTCTCCTTTCTTTTCCTATTTTTTTTTTCTCTTCCTTTTCTGGGCAATAAATTCTTGTTCCGTATAATCGGGGCTATTAGAAAAAAGAAGTTAATAGGAAAAGTTTCCATCGGAGGAATTCTCTTCTAGCAGCAGCCACGAAATTGATTCGCTTCTTTCGTCGGAGAACAGAACATTTCGACAAGTTCGCAATGTGCTCGTTTGAAGTTTAGACTTGATTACGACCTGTCTCCGGTAACGACTTAGAATCTGGCAGCGGGTCAATAAAAATTCAGCACGACCACGTTCGAACAACAGACTCCTTGTTAACATCAATCGAAGAAACTGCATTTCCATTTCCGACCGGTTACCCAGATGCTCGTTTCGCCGTCGCGATAGATACCGAGGTGGATTTACGTTCAAAAACGGAGTCAAAGTTTTATCTACGCTCGGTCCAAGCACTTCCATCGTTCAACCGTGAAAAATGAGACGGCTCAAAGTTCAACGATGACGCGCTCGCATATGCTGTCAGAGCACTCGAGAGAAAAATGGCGTTGAAGAAGAACGAGTGACACGCGAGAGAGAATAAAGGTAAAGGGGCGCAAAGAAAACAGGAGCGAAAACAAGATCGCAGCGAGTCGAGCACCGGCCAAAGGATTTCGTACGCGCATACACGTACACACACGACGTACGACCGTTTAAACTTCCTCGTGGCGTCAAAAAGTTGCTCCGTTAACTTCCTAAGAGCTTCATCCTATGAATAGTTTCGCGAGCATGAATCGCTGATGCATCGTGGCTCTTTCATCGGTTCCGCTTCTTCCGGGTGAATGAAAAAACAAGAATGAAGAGAGAAATTGACGTAATATTAATAGCGATACTTGGTACAGCTTCGAATTTCTAAGCCCACGGGACGACCGCGGGCTCATTCATATTTATGATCCGGATGATTCCACGCGAAAGTTACGCCAACGTGAAAACTTAGACGATGGAAGAATATATAAAAGGACGCGGAGCTCGAGTTTCACGCTGACCTTATTAACGATACGCGTTATGCGATAGATACAAGCGAAACAAGAGACGAGTACCGATGGACTTCGTTGCGGATTCGTGTCGACCGCGATCTTCGCCGTACAACGGATTCGCGTTACGCTCAATTAGCGTCGTTAACGCGTAGAATGCTGTGGGAGACAAGTGATCGGTATCACGAATTGGATATAACTTTGACACTTTGACAGTCTTGAATTACGGAACCTTGGAGCTTCGAAATTTTGTAATTTTCAAACCTTAGGAGTATAGAACATTACAAATTTTTTATTTTGGAATCCATGCAAAATTGGGACCTTGGAACCTTAAAACTTTTCGAACAATCATAAATATGGAAGATAAATCCTTAAAGAGTCCAGAACTGCTAACGCAATTTCCAACCGAATCGATCGCTCCATAAGATAAAAGTTCGGAACAGTACCAAAAGAGAGAGAAGGGAAAGAATAGTTTGAGTCATCGTCGAACGATTGTCCTCCAACTGCTGGTACCCTTAATTTTCTGTTATCGTTCGATGAGGGTAACTCGGGGCGGAAAGGAAGCAGCATAGAAATCGGAGAAAGAAGAAGTTGGAAATAGGAAGTTATCGTAGTCGAAGGATAACAGAGGCAAAAGCATAGGCTCGCAATTGGATTCGACTCGACGGAACTGAAAACTCAACTCGGCTCGGCTGAGCTCTCTCTAGCTGGCTCCAGCTATTGATCGGAGGCCGACCGGGGTCAGAGTAGCAGTGGACTACATCGGTACACCTACGGGTGCAACGGTGCTCCACGTGTTGGTATGTGCACCCCTGCACACCGATGCGAGCTTGCACACGAACGGACAGCATCTATCCTCTCTCTAACCACCGACGCTGCTACGTACGAGCCACCAACGGCGTTGCGACGTCGCTATTTACTTTCCAGTTATGCCTACTGGAACGCCGCTCCGTGTAAATGTACATCCAGCTGGTGCCGCTGGAGAACCGTGTGCTCTTTTGTTGGAATTCGACCGGGACATTACTTTTTCAACCTGTTCTCTCTTTTTTTTCCTTCCGCGAGTTTGTAACCCGTTGAATTTTGTTCCTCGCGTATCCTTCTTTTATTTTCCTCTCTAATTAAGAGCGAACGTCCACGCACACGTACTAGCAAAACTTTCTACGGATTTTCAACGAATACGAGTCATTCTTTCGCGAATGGAGATACAGTTACGAGGTTGGTTATGGTTCCTTCGACTCACCTCGTTGGTGTTCCATCGATGCCTCTGGGTTGGAAAGTGTTCGGCTCGCGGTAAGGTCTCCAAATTTTCTGGAAGCTTGATCGGATCTCCATCTAAACAGAGCAACGAAAATGTCCGTTAATGAGTTGTGTCGAACAGATCGATCTTGCACGTGGAACGATCTCGGTTACGTTGACTTTTTTTTTTTGTTAACTCGATCACTCGAACAGAAACTAATCTGATTATCCCGGTATCACGCGAGTTACCGTATAAGTCATGCTTACACGTTTATTTCGATGAAAGCTCGAGCGTTTGCATAACGCATCATTAACCGTGTTTATATACAACGGATCGAAGTGGTTATCGATCGTAACACGGCTACTCGAGTGTACGAGAGCCAAGAAAAACCTCTTTTAAAAGTAATGCGCTTTTCACGTGCACAATGCTAACCCTCCTAAGTGTTTGAACACGTAACCAACTTGTTCCGCAAAAATGGAGCCAAGGAACGTTCCCCATCCACCCTCCTTTCCCTCTTTCCGTTTCACGTAAACGTCGGGACTGGAAAAAAATTCGATCGAACAATTTAATTTTCTAGGTCACGCGGTGCAAAGTTATGATCAGCCGTTAACCGGAAACTATCAGCGTAGGGAATTCCTTGAAAAATACAACGGTATCCCTGTTCGCGGAAGATGCCATCGAGTAGAAATCGAAACAAATGCGCGTGTATCGACGTTTCGAGACATTAGGGAAACGGCTGTTCGCCGGATGAAATATTCCAGGCTACCGATAGTGCAGCTGCACTCCGTTGTGATTTATCGCCTACACCTTTCGCGTATTACGCGTTTTGACAGCACCATAGCTGAACCGAAATTAAGCCGACTTCGGATTTCACGAGAGAAACAGTACCGAGAGGTCTTTTGACCTCGAACGGAGAAAAGGAAGCATTACCACCTGCAACGTAACACCTTTCGATAAATTTGGAAGCGTCGAGATGATCGACGAATACGGAGGAATCTAACGATCCCCGTCGGCGACTCAGACGAAGGACTCACTTGGTGCAAGCGGCGTCGGGTAGGTCGCGTGGTAGACGACACGCTGTGGATTCGAATGATTGTAGCCCGCCATTTCCGTGGCGCTCGTTCGAGCGACCGCTTCCTGGATCTTACCGATCGTGGCCGATCGTCATCGTCCTTGAACGTACGCGAAACGCGATCGCTTCTGTGCTCTGGCAGACATCCCCAGGCTCCTCGTGTATCTGGACGAGTGTGCGGCTGATATGGCGGCTCGGTGATGCTCGGTGCTCGCGATTCTTGACCGTGACAAGCTTCGACGACGGCACTCGTTTTGTCAGGATAGCTTGCTGCCGGGTTCTAGGATGGAAACACGACTCGCTTGACGTTGTCCTCTGCGTGAGGCTCGTGCACGTGGGTGGTGATTCCCCTTAGAACGGCAGGACATATCCCCCGAAGGATCGTGTACGCGAGCCAGGTTGTTCGTTCGAATGTCCTACCCTCGAAACTTCGAAGAAAAGCAGCGAAAGAAACGAAGATCGACGCGCACTCAAAGCGAGATGGAGAGAGAGAGAGACAGAGAGCGAGGCGGGAGGGAGAGAGGGTCACACGTTACCGGATGTTTCTCAGCGTGACGCGTGGACAACACACGTGGAGAACGCATGTAAAATGGTATCGCCTCCTCCCTCTTCTGCTGCTGTTTCTCTTCTTCCTCCTCTTCTATTCGTTTTAAATACTTCTTCGTATTAGTATAAAAAACTGGAGCTCCATTGTATTCTGTACACAGATAACCCGAAACGATCCTCTCTCTCTCGCTCTTGCGAACCTTCGTCTACCCTTATCTCCTTGTCCTCCGTAACCTCTTCAACCTTTGTTTCTATTCTTCGCGAATATTCACCAACCGTACTTTCCCCGAATCTCTCTCGCGGACACTCTCACTGTCTCCTTTCGTTCTCGACCCTTCTCCGACTCTCCTCTTCCCTTGTTTCTTTCGATTGTGCGTTCCTGGAGCTCTTATTCTTCTTATATCCTAAGTTACAACACCGAACCTGTCCCTATCGGAGGGACAAAATAATGTAATGGACACACAGTACAGAGAGAACTTAAAAAGAGATTCGCCCGTGGCCGGAACGGATTACGATCGCCTTTATCGCCTTCTCTTCTCTTTCCTCCCTTCTTGTTTTCGTCCTTCTCTTCTCGACTTGCCTTTTCGTCCTCTCCTTCCTCTCCGTCGCTGTTTCTCCCTTCCTTCTGTCGCACACTTTCTTCCTCTCTCTTCTCTTTACCCTCGCTCGTCCGCGTATCCTTCTCGTTGCTTTGACAGGCTTCGTAACGTTTGCTTTGAAAGGCTGGAAATAGTTACTTTGTCGTTCGCGTTCCGTGTTCGTTGTTTTTTTTTGTTTGTTAGCAGAGGTCTAAGAGTTTCTTTAGAGTAGGTAAGAGACTTTTAGGAGACGTGTGTAGTTCGTGTTATTTAGTGTTATTTACAAATATGTATGTTATTGTTTTGTTAATAAAATAGGTTCAAATTAGTCTTTGGCCCCGCGTGTCTGCTCCCGAGCGGCGGGAGCCGCAGAGTGAGCCAACCCGCGACTCTCGACCTCCGTCCATCGCCCCTCTTTTCGTCCTTCCACCACTGTTCCTACCCCTTTTCCTGTTCCGCCATTTCATAGCCCCCTATCTCCCACCATCGAGACCAGTCCGACTATCCAGCCCCAGCCACAGCCCCTGTCTGCCGAATCCCTTTTCCTTTACCCCTTATCCCTCTAGCCAACCACCCCGTCTGCTGCACCTTCAACATCCAACCCCCACCTTACCTTCTCTGCCTCTAACCCCTACTTTGCCACAACCTACCACCCTCCCAGCCCCCTCTGTCTCCGTCTCTCTTTCGCTTTCCGCTACGTGTTTCTGCTCGACAAGGTGTGGGTGCACACCGAGCCAATTCCGCGGAGAACTCGCCGATGCTACCCTCTGGAAAACTCCGGCGGAGTTGTAAATTAAGGATTACCGAGGATGCAAATTAATGCCTAAGCGTACGTTTCTAGCTGCTAGCCTTCCGTTCCGTAGGATCATCCTGCAAGCTGGAAACGGAGTGTCGTGCTTCGTGTCGAGCCACGTTAATCGATTGTTATCCGACCTTGTGGCGGCATTTAGAACAATCGTGCGGGACTAATTCCTTGTACGAACGTTTAACGAATCCCTGCTTCCTTTTCTTTTTTCCCTCGTTCCCGGCCGATTCTCCTTCCTCTTTACCGGATTTACGGAGGCTTTGCCTTTCGAAAGCTCGAAAATCAAGGCGCAAAGTAGCCACCGGATGAAGGGGGCGAAAAAAGAGAAGGCAGAACGCGCGTCTGCGAAAAGCAACTTCGCCGGGTTCTTTCTTGCTTTTTGTTCGTTTAATTAGGCAGCTAGTTTAACTGGGACAAGGGAGAGAAACGCACTTGCCCAATTCGGCGATAAATTAGCTTTACGCTTCTGAAAAGGTGCAACGCGTGTACTCGTTATCTCGGGAATTCACGAGCCTGGCCCGGTGTGAAATATATATCGGAACAGAGGAACGGGGAGTTTCGAAATGCAAAATCGCGGTGATTTAACGTTCGTCGAACGGCCGAAAATCCGTTGTCCCTCGATCGACGATCGGCAAGTTTCCTAACGTTGCCATCGAAAGAGAAGCAAGAGAACCGAGGCATCGGCTAATAAATCGAAACCGGTCGAAATAAAAGAGAAAGAAACGAGGCAACGGGAAAAAAAGCAACTCCCTGGAGAAGAGTAAAAGACGGACAAGAAAAATGTCGAGCAGATTCTCCCGTTCGGGGACACACATAGGCGCAGTCCCGACTCCTCATCCCCGGCTTCGCCGAACCCCTAAACCATATTCCACTCACAACCTACGACTGGTCGTAGGTTATAACACGGTTGCCTTCTTCGCGCCTACACACGTATTTCGCACACGTACAATGACAGCCGTACCTTTGCAGACTTTTGCAAGGTAGGCTATACAGAGCTATAAGCAGGGCATGACACAGCATACATCGGATGCTCGCAGAAGGTTCGCGTCGAATTTTAATGGAGGTGCTGCCATCTCCCAGTGACCCCTGCAAGTGGATCTCTATAGATATCGGCGAAAAAAAGAGAAAAGATAAAAAAAGAGAGTCGAGCAGGGGTTGAGGGGGTTGAAATCACTCGGGCGCCAGGCCCGAAACCCCCGTATCGCGGATCTGATTAATGGATGGATTCACGGGCGCGTATTTATATGGATTTAAGCGGCGTTTCCGCGCGCGCGCGAGCACACACGCTCGGACACACGGACGAGCGGCACTCGACGTACGTGTGAATCCGCGTGCATAACCCTTCGGGTCTGAATTAGGCTCTCGAATGCGTGTGCGGTCTGTTTACACGGACGGGCGCATGTGTGGGAGCATGTGCAGTCAAGCATCGCGCGGGGTGGTTCTCGCACACGGTGGGGTCGTACATTTTCTCGCATAAGCTCGTAATTTATCCAGGAACTCGTAATTGAGCGGATCTTGTAACGAGACGGTTGCTGATGAAATGAAATAAGCCTGGGGGGATCTCTGAACAGCTTCATCCCTGACCACCCTTCTCGCTGGATCTGTTTATTATTCGAAATCGCGTCGGTTTATTTTATTCTACCCCTAATAACAACGTTAACGGGTCGTACACGGTTTTTATCGCTGTCGCTTTGTCGAGGCTTCTTAGCCTGAGGGATCTCTTTGTGCATGTTTATTGTTTCGAATCGCGAGAGTTTATTTTTTTTTTCTGTGTGTCGCTAATAATAATGTCAACGGGACAAACATATTCTCGCGCTGTTGTCTCTTTTAGCCCTCTATTAGCTCGTTTCATCGCTCGACCTAACATTCGACGCAGAGAAAGGTACTCGAGAGACGGAGACCGAGGGAAATAGAAACGGGATCTTATTTTTAGGTGAGTACGGGGCAAAAGTGGAACACGCAAGGTGCATGATTCGCAGCTACGAGCGGACAACGTGGTTAGAAATGATCGCTATTGTTTCCTGGAGCTGGACCGCCAACTAATTTTTGGTATCGTGCCGAGTTTACTCGTACGCCACGCGGCTCCATAATTTC